CTCCCAGTAGGAAGCCATGCTTTAGCAGCCATGTTTTTCTGTTAAAAGCCCCACAGCTTTGTTGGTTATGTGTATTTGTCTAAAGAAAGGGACCCATTTGTACCATGGGCTAGGAAATTTGTTAATATGATAAAAATATCTATCATAAAAAATTAAGAAGATGAATAATTTTTTTGGCTCATGGTTTCACAGGCATCAATTTATCATGGTGTGTAGGGCATGGCAGAATAAAGTATCATCATGACATCCAGGAAGCAAAGAAAAAGGAATATGAGAAAGAGCTAGGGCAAGATACCCCAAGGACAGACCCGCCCCAGAGACCTTCAAGTAGGCCCCACCTCTTATCTTTTACCACATCCCAGTAATGCTATCAAGGAACCAATCCATTCGCCAGGACAAAACCCTCTTGATCGAGTTGTCTCTGGAAGCACCATCACAAAGACACTGAGACATGTGCTTTACTAACCTATCAGGTGTTTTTTAATTAAGTCAAGTTGACAGACTTTTGCCTTCACTTCTAACTCTGTACAGTTCTTGGAATAGTTGTCTTATCTCCAAATAACTTCTCTAAAAATAAAGAGTGGACATAATATCTCAGCTCTTCCCAAGAGCTTCCAAGTTTCCCCTTTGCACTTGTCTTTAAATTTCTACCATAGCAACTGATCCAACAAGCTTGATTTTTCCAAATGTCTCCCAACAATGATGTGGAATGATTTTCTGCTAAATCCTTTTAATATCAAATGCATATGTAAAAGTCATTTCTCCAACCAGTTATTGATAACCAACATTATAAAAAATCTGCCACACACACCCAGAAAATTTACCACACTGCCTAGGCATATAAGGAATTCACTACTCCCAAGGGAGACACTGGCAGCTTAGAAAAATAAATTCCTAATTCTTTACTCTGGAAATGATTATTTTCCATATTTCAGCTGTCACCCTTCTATTATTGGGGTGGAATGTAGAAATTCTCTTTTCCGTATTACCTAATGTTTATACAGTGTTTCTTGAGGCATGTAGCATTAACTAGTGGTTCTAATAGTTCCAAGAACAGAATCTCATCAGTAAGGGATATAATTGCATTAAGAAACAGGCTTTCATTAGCTCAGTGATGAGTTGAATTGCTCAGTTCATAATCCTGGGCAGATGTGAATGTATCATCATGTTGAAAATAGTCTTTTCACATACAGCAAGGAATTTCAATATGAAATCATTCTGGGTTTATAGTGAATCTTAAATGGAATGGTGTGTTCTTGAAAGAGCAAGAAAGAAAAAGAACATGCAGAGATGGTCATCTGAACACAAAGGCAAGGATGGTAATTTTGCTGCCATCAAACATAATATTCCTAGACTGCCGTATGCTGAAGAGGAAAAGAAGAACTTATGGGGCCCATCAAATCATGTCCTTTATGTTACCTTGTGTATTAGTTACTTTTCTGTTGTTGTGATCAAACACTACATACAACCAAGGCAACTTATAGAAGGAAGAGTTTATTTGGGCTTTATGATTCCAGAGGGATAAGAGTCCATCATGGTGGGGAGGCATGGCAGCAGGCAGGCATGGCCCCAGGAGCAGGCAGCTAGGATCTCACATCTTTAAACATAAGCACAAAGTGAAGCAAGTCCACTGTGACAATACTTCCTCCAGCAAAGCCATACTTCCTAAACTTCCTCAAACAGTTCCACCATTAGAGACCAAGTGTTCAAATACCTGTGGCTATGTGGGATATTTCTCATTCAAACCACCACACCTTGTAATAGTGGAACAGAACTCGAATGAAAATCCATATATGTGTTTATTATCTTGACAAATTCTTATTGAATAACCTAATGTACTAGGCAGAGAAATAAGAAAATCCTTTTTGTTAACCCGTATCTTGATAGTGATTGTGGAAAGAGAAAATAATCAAAACAAGCAAACGAAAGAATTCCTTCCTTCTTTCCTTTCTTCCTTCCTCCCTTCTTCCTTCCTCCCTCCCTCCCTCCCTCTCTCCCTCCCTCCCTCCCTCCCTCCCTTCCTTCCTTCCTTCCTTTGTTCTTTCATCTGTTCTTTCTTCCCCAGGTTTAGGGTTTGAACACAAGGGCTCTCTCATGCTAGGCAAGCACTCTACTACTGACCTACCTACTAACCTTGGTAATCTATGATGGTGGTAAGAATTGCTAAAACAGAGTTATTCAAAAGAGTGTTAGAGTGTGAGGACTTACAATTTTTGTTTTTTAGATCACGTGGTCAGAAAAGGTCCTAGAGGAGTTGACATTTGAACTACCATCTGAATACAAGAGCTAGGGATTTGTGGATCGAGTAAAGAATGTTGAAAGTAGATGTTACAGCTTGTGAAGAGGCATTTGGTAGGAATTCCTTGATTTCTGAGAGCAGATGGGAAGGCAGATGTTTTTGCATGGTCACCAAGTTGCTTTGAGAGTGACAGGGGTCAGATCCTGTGCAGTCTTCTAAACCACAGTTAAGAGTTGGTATTTTAGGAAGCACTTGGAAGTAGTAAAGAAGAAAAAAATGATGTGATTTATCATTTTAAATGAATGCACTGTTGCTATGATAATTCTCCTATGGGACATATACCTTCATCAGTAGGATTGGAAGTGGTAAGACTGATTTTCTCTTCAGAGGTCCAAGGCTTATCCTTACAGAGTTCAGTTAGTACTTGTTCCCTCTCTGCACACCCATCATTTCTCCTAGGTGTCAGGCCTAGGCTCTGACTCCAAATATGCTTTGTTAATCAACTTATACAATTGTATAAAGTCAGAACTCTATACTAAATTTATATAAATATAAATTTATATATTTATATGTAACACATATTAAATGAAATATATAGTATCTGTAAATTTGTATATAAAATATATTATTTTTATATATTTGTCATACATATTTACATAAGGAAGCAATCAAGAAGCCTCAAGATCTGCTACTGACTGAAACCAAGGTGGCAGTTGTGCTCTAGCCCTACCTCTGTAGCTCTAGGTCTGCCAGCTAAGCCCAATGACCTAATTCCAAGGTTCCACATCCTCCCAAAACAGCATCACCAACTGGGGATGAACTGTTCAAACACATAAGCCTATGAGGGCCATCTCAAACCATAACAATTGGCTAAAAAATAAGTGCTATATGTGATTTCCTGGACATAGCCTTAAAGAACGGGGAAATGTGGTTACTCCTCTCTTTCTTTCTCCAGTTCCTTAGATACTGTATGAATTTGCCAGAATCCCAGGAGCTTGCAGAAAAGGGCCCTAGTCTTTTTACATCATGAAAACAGGCCAGTTCAGTGACTCCTCCCTCTAGGCTTTCATAAGACAGGTAAACATTATCATAGTTAAGCCACCACTACTTTGAATTTCTATCACACACAAAGTTAATAATGAATAATATGATACCCCACAACTAGCACCTTTTCTAAAGATAAATATGTTTGCTACAAGCAAGGATCTAATTGGCATAACTGTTATTCATGTTGTGTACAATTTAGTTTTCACACACCAAAAAAGTTCCCCACTTATTCAACCCAAAGTTTCTTTTTTTTAACTTATGAAAGAATTATAGACCATTTATTAGCATCAAGTATTAAAAGCACCATACTTCCTCTAGGGAAGCAAAAATTGATCCTCATTTTCCTCACAGCATCTCACATTTCATAAACCCTTGTTTAAAATTAACTCATATCATTAAACAACATAAAAATTCTTTTACAACTACAAAATACAAGCTGTCTTCTGAGAGACTGAAAATGTGAGTTTAATATAGTACATAATATAATGTCAAATAGGTGACCGAAATCTATTCAATATTGGTGAAGACAGTCTCAACTCCCAGATTTCCAGCTGTTCTGGTTTCTGTCTTACCACACATCCTATTGCTCTGGCCAGATGTCATCCAACCACAGGACGGGAATTTCTACCCTGTTCAAGAGTACAAGTTACTAAAACTGGGAGGAACAATATGAAATTTATAACTAATGAAAAACTAAACTAAAGCATGTTTTCAATTTAGTTAACATTTTGGCTCTTTATTTGATGTGTATGGGAGCTTTTGTCTGTGTGTTTTAAAATCTGGCATGTTCTATAAATGGCACAATCCATTCTGAAGCCATGACCAATTTTTTTTAAAAGATAGCTACTATAATAAATCAGGAAATGTCCAAGTACCTTGTGCAATGTAAGGGTGGATTTTTTTAAAGATTCATGTTTTGTTTGTATACTTGGAGTGAGGAGTTGACCAAAAAGAATTTAGAGGTATTGGAGAGATGGCTCAGGACACACAAGGCAAGTCACAACCTTCTATAAACCAATTGGGATCCAATACCAATTTCTGGCCTAATCAGGCACTGCATGAATATGTTATATGTACATGCAGACAAAATACTCAAACATGTGGGAAAAAAAATATATATAGTCAGGCATGGTGGTTTGTACCTCTAATTCCAGTAATTGGGAGGCAGAAGTAGGATCTCTGTGAGTCCAAGGCCAGTGTGGTCTACTTAGTAAGTAAGTTCTGGGCTAGCCTGAGATGCATAGTGAGACATGTCCAATAAACAAAACAAATCAAAATAAAAAAATCACCCCCCCAAAAAAACTAATGTATATTGGTAGTTATTCATACTTATCATTTTAACCAGTTTTTAGTTTGCATTAATTGCTTCTCACAGCAAAAGGAAGCTTCTTTGATAAAAGTTGAGAACAGCACATATCATTGGTTATATACATAAATATTACAATGTAGTTTGATAGCATGGGCATTAAGCAAAACAACAGTATGTTCTTCGCTAGGGCCTGTGATCTCCCACGTCATGAGCTTTTGACTAAGTTTTGCCGTGTTATACACGAATGTTCTGTGGCGCAGGCCTCATCTTAAAGCAAATGCAGTTGGTTGTCCCCATAGCCATCATGCCAATATTGCCCCGGTGGGCACATCTCAGCAGCAATTCAGCATTGCAGTTTGCAGGGTCCAGTGCTGGGTAAAACCCCTGATATCTTTTCTTCTCCAGCAGCCTACATAGAACCTTCCGGCACTATGAAGCACTATGTATCAAGGAGAATGTTTCCTGGTCAGTTCAAGGTGGAGTTCACTATGTCCCACATATAAAGTGAGTCATGTCTTCAGCAATAGGCTTTTATTGTCTAGTTATGGTAGGAATTCAAGAGCAATGGCAATGGCCTGTGTTATTTTGGATGTCTCTGGGGCCTCTCTAAACAATAACTTTTAGGGATGTATCTATATCATGCCTGGCACTGAGAGTTTAATAACCCATATTTTCTGGGAGCAACGTTATACACCCATGCAGAATACTTCTGCTCAAAATACCCTTTAAAAAATATTTTTATATTTTGCAGTTAGCTTGCAAACTAGTGGATTTCCATGAGACTTCCTCATATGTTCTTAATTTGGGTTTTTCTATCCCTTACCTTCTCTCTCTCAATACACCCTATCCTTTCTTAAACCTTTAGCCACCAATACATCCCTTTTCTCCTTTTATGCTGCCTGTGTTCTATTGTCCCCTCTAACTGATTTTTTTTTGGGCGTTGGAAGATTGTAAGTTTCTATATAGCTTTTCCATGAACCATTCATTTTGGTTAAGAATTCCATTAACACTTCATTTCCCATTCTCTACCCTGCTGTATGCTTGAAGCCTTCTACCCCAAATGTCCCCTTCTCTATTTTCATTTTGCCTGTGTTTTACTGTCTGCCTTCCCTCAAGACATCCACTTTCCAATGACCTATTTTTAGTTTCCTGGCTTCCTTATGTACTCCAGGTTAAATATACAAAATTTTTATTTTAACAGCATGAGATATGGTGATGGTCCATGTAAATGTGTATATATGTTTCTAAAAGGGATAGATAAGAATAAAATAACTACACTAACTCTTGACTTGCCAGTCTTTGGAGGACAGTTTCCTCTCTCTTTAAGACTTAATGAACATTAAACCTCCAAATCTACAACATTAGCACAAAAGAAGCCTGATAAAACTAGCACAGTAATTTATACATAGTTATGAATGAATTGGTGAGTAAAGTAATATGTAATATGCATCATGACTCAGATTGTCAAACTAATATACAGCTTATTTATAGTGGATTATTTCCCAGTCTCTGTCCAATCATTTAATAGTTTCCATATGCTTGTCTGTGCTTTGGTGAGTCTTACCCACCAAAAGCAAGTGGAAGGCTGTAAAGTAAAAATTGATTTCCTTTTCACCACCCTTGCCTTCAGAACATTCTCTAGCACACATTCTAAGTGGTTTGTGGACTTTCCCTATATGAGTCTGAACATGACTGAATGTTATAGAGCTACAAAACAAATATTGCTGTGTGATCTTGTGTGATACATATGAATATAATACTATGAGTGGATTTTGCTTACACACACACTATGTATATATATATATATATATATATATATATATATATGTATAATGTAAATACAGATGGATGGGTATACCTTATTCTTTTTAATGATTACCTTGTGTTCCATTGCATGAGTGTTTGTCTGCTCATGGGTGAATAGCCCTCTTTAAAGATTTTGCTATGGCAAACAACCCTTCAAGCACAATTTCTTTTTTTAAAAATTCCTTTTTGTTACATTTATTTCTTTTATGTGTGTGCGAGTGTGTGTGTAGATGAGAGGACAACTTGCTGGAGTCTGTTCTCTCCTTTCACCATGGCGATCTTAGTAATAGAACCCAGGTTGTCAGGGTTTGCCTGCTCAGCCACCTTAGTGGCCCTAAGCAAGTCTTCTTATATTGCTTCTTTGGATTGCTTAGATGGCACTTGCTAATGTCCTTTGGCAACATATTTATAGGAATGGGCATCTTTTATTCTTTAAAGCCCATGAGAACTCATTCATATCAGTCTACAAACACAAAACCAAAGATGGTTTTATACAAATGATAAAAGTGGTTAGGAGCTCAGATCCAATTAGAAAAAATCTCTAACATCTTGTCATTTTCTTCTAAATTTAGATCACCAGCCTCAACTTGTCAAAAAAAGTTATTCTAGAGATTATCCTTAAAATCCTTTCATGTTAATTTTATCATATCTTCTATCCAAAGGATATCCGAGAGGGGAGGTGCAGCCTGGGAAACTATCACTAGACTACAGAGATGGAAGCTCCAGAAGGTAAGAATGGTGCTTTCACAGTGGAGAAGTGACATGCTGAGGGGCCTTGGTCATCCAGAGCATTTGGTAACCCAACCCCCTCTTTAAATAATGAGCTCCTTTCAGAGAAGCAGACACCCTGAGATCTGCTGCTTGTTAGGTGTGGGCCTCAAACAAGTAGCTGAACTCCTCCACCTCAGTTCCTTGAAATGATCATGAGAATATTGTCTATTTTGTGAGGTTCTTATGAAAAAAAATCAAGAACTAACATTTATAAAGCATTGCAGGGCCTGGCACATAGTAAGCACTCTGCAGGTGTTAGTTAAATAAAATGCCAAACTGTGTAAGCAGAGTGCTTATCTTGCCTTATCTACTGAAGAAGCCCCTCCTGAAACTTCCTAAGCTGGAAGGAATGTATGTATGTAAAATGCTTGCTCCTTCTCTTCACCAGCCCCCTCACTGTAGACACTTTTCTGTTTGGTGCTCACAGAAGCCCAGCATTTCAGTAGTCTGTCACAATCAGAAGTGATTAGGTTACAAATAAAATGGATTGATATTGTGTAACCATTTCTCAGATAGTTGCTTGTGAATTATTTGTGTTCAAGAAACTGTTTTAGAAGAAGAGGAGAATTGCAAAGATATATCATATAACAAATCGAGTTAAAATCCAGCAACCAAGTATGACATGTACTCATGTACTGTACTTAACATTTTAATGTTACAATTATTGAACTTCCTTTATTCAAAGGGGGCTTACCAGAGCTTCACACACCATCTTGCAATTTCCTGCATTTTGATTAGTGTCAAAAGATTTGGGCTCAAGTCTGAAGCTTTTTTTTTTTTTTCCTGAAAGTTTCCAAGGTATGCTGTACACTTTGAGACTTTTTCTTTAGTAGAAAGGTGAAGTCCTGATATGGCCTTAGATGCTGCAACAGATTATTTTGGATGACTATATCATGATTTAGTCTAATAATGAAGATGAATGTCTCATTTTCTCATATTATCACTAATAGAATTTGTGGGACTTCACATCAGCTTTCAAGCTCTTCTTCACACAGAATCACACTCATATGACTTCATGAGGATGTACTGGAATGAATGTGATCCTTCAAATTCTTGTGCTGGGTTCCTGATCTCCATGGTGATGGCATTAAGAGGTTTAAATAACAGAGACTCAAGAGATCTTTCCCCCTCTTCTGGTGGACACAGGGAAATTGTGCCTCTTCAGACAGTAAATCTGCTGGTACCTTAACGTTGGAACTATGATAAGTAAATTGCTGCAGTTTATAAAACCACTAGTAAATTGCATTGTCTTATAGCAGTCTGAAAGAACTAAGATACGTATTTCTGGTGGTGAAAGTGAGGGACAAAATTAGCATGCCACAGGTAGTCACTAACATATATATTGTTAACTTTCAGAATTGTCTTTGATGAAAATGCTAAGGGAAGACTTCATATTAAATACAAGAATAAACAACAGATTATCAGGTGTTTTATGTGTATCTTTGTGTGTGTGTGTGTGTGTGTGTGTGTGTGTGTGTGTGTGTGTGTGTGTGTGTCATCTTGTTTTAGAAAGCAACCTATCTAGGGATCCTCTTTCAGTACAGCAATTTGGAAAATATGGCATTCTAGTATTATTTTTTTTATCCCACAGGACTGCAAAAGCCCACATTTAACTTTCTTTTCAGACTTAAGTTGCTCAGGGAGCTCCACTCTGCTTTCTAACACTCCCCCGTTTCCTGATGAATGGTCATTTCCCTTCTTTGCTAAGTCCTAACAGTTTTTCATGTTCTGCAATTTTCTCTGTTATATAGCCCTAGGCATAACTGGCCATAAAGTCACAGACAATAATAAAGCCTTAGATTTGGAAGGAAACATAGAGAATATCCAATCCACCCCCTCATTTTATAGTTAAAGAAATTTAGTACCCAAGAGGGTAAATAACTTTTTCAATGTCATCCCGTTAATGTGTAGACTGGTCCAAAGTTGCCAAGGTAAAAATTTTTTTGTGGGTAAAACTGCAGCTAAAACCATTTTAAAATGCATACATCGTTCCTTCTGTCTGCTTAAAATAGCACAGTAATGCAACCTACACAACCAAGTTTGGAAGCTACTACTTCTAATCCTGAAAACACTGTTATATGAAAAACAGTGAAATGAGATATGATTTATAGATGCTGGTCTTAGGATTTCTATTTAATTCTGGGTTGGCTAGGTCAGTCTAAAGAGATTTCTTTTCTTAATGAGTTTTCTAGAGAGTCAATGGAAAATAGACAAATACAAATACAGAAAACACATCAACACAAGAATCTGGCTTAATAATATATTGTCATAATTAATTTCTGCTACTATAATATCTAACATTTTATACCCACTCTTGTGGCAAATTGACGCTCAGATAAAAAATTGTGAATTACTCTTGGATTCAGAATCTAGGGCCAGTAAGCATCCAGAGTAGCAGCTTCGAATGCTACAGTATCAAGGAAGGATGTCCTGGTTGACAGATTAAAGACCAGAAAGCTCTAAGACAGGGCTTCTTTATGGACATACTCTCTCTTGGGTTAGAATTGTGCAAGAAATGTAAGCAAAGACATTTGATATTCATAAAGAAAGGCCTCCAAACAAGTTTTTTTTAAAGAATAACTATTCAGAGATATTGTGCTCTGAACATGTATGTTCAGAAGTATGATCTGTCAGAACTGGAAAGAATATCCAAGGTTATTTAATAAAGGTGGAATGTGGTTAATATTTGGGATGTCTCTATGACACCCCTCCTGGCAAGACTCAGGACTCTATATGGAAGAGGGGCAGAAAGAATGTAAGAGCCAGAGATGGTGCTTGACTTCAAGAAAATAGCAGTTTTCAGACACAGCAGGGCAGATGTACACAAGAACTCACAGAGATTGACGCTATGCACAAGACCTGCACAGTCGCAAGCCTGGCAAACTCCCAACATGGAGGAGGGGAAGTGGCCATGAAGTTGCACCCACAGCCAGGAAGCTATTCACAACCGTTAGCTGTTGGCAGAGAAAAAGATTGTTTTCTTCAATGTAATGCTGGATGTAACAATGCACTCCAGGGCAGGCCTCATACTTAGGTTAGTCAGTCAATACAAAGTGGACTCTATTCTGTTTTTTTCTTTTCATTTTTTAAGAGAGAAAGAACATGAGATTAGGTGGTAGCAAGGAAGGTGGGGGATGATCTTGAAGGAGTTGGAGAGAGGGAAAGAATAGGATCAAAATATTTTGTATAAAATTCCCAAAGAAGAAAAATATTATTAAAATAAGTCACATACACACAGAGAAAAAGAGAGACAGATGGAGAGAAACAAGGAGTGAAACACAAGGAGAGAGAATGCAACTTGTCTGAGGTCAGACTTGAAGTTAGTAATGGAGTTTGGACCCCAAGTTGGTACTTGGCCTTCTGGGTTTTAAGCCTGGCTTCTTTGGGTAAACTAGTATCAATTTTCTTTATCATACACATAATGTGGAAGGATGACCACAGGGTGCCTCTTATTTTTTTTTTCACCTATATGGCACGGCAGAACTAAAAATACAACATTTTATATTGAAAATCAAAGGCTAATCAGAGAAAGAGGCAGAGATAGAGAGATAGATACAGAGTGGAGGGAACATTCACACAGACATATATGGGGAGGGGAGGAGATAGGAATCAGGTAAAAAAAAAAGAGAAGGAGGCACTGAAATGTAAAATGAAGAGAACACTGTCTTAGTATCCCAAGTATAAGAGCTTTATCTTCATATGGATCAAACCAGGAAGTGATGTCATCAGTAACAAGCACTCTAGTTGGTATAATGAGAAGCAGCAAAAATGAAGACGGGGGCTACAGGGGTGGCGATTCACTTTCTCACTCCCATCTACCCCCACTTTGGGACAACATATTAATCCCATTGACATCTGCCAATACTGTCAGTAGTGTTGGCTTTTGAATGAAGAGCATAAAATCCAATGTGCTGAAGTAGCAAATATGGTGTTGGCACTGATCAACAGTGCTACAGCAAAGTAGTATTTGTGGTTTGTGAAAAACAGATAAGCAGAGCATGGAGTCATTTCCATTTTAGGTCTGCAGCAAACATTTAACCCAAGTCAGGTTTCCCTGTGGTCAAGTATAAGTAAGAAAGTTAGCTCTTAATACTTACTACAGCAAAAATGATAAAAAAATTTCCCTGAACTCCAAGAACAGGGAAATAAATTATGTAATATTGGTATGGTAGAACACTGTCAACATTTAAAATTATGGCTTTTGAGAACTGTTAGCAGTAGTTTAGAAATTTGCAAGGTAAGTGAAAAAGCATGATTCAGAAATTGTATCTGTTGAGTTGTATGAATTTTATTAAAGGTATTTTCATTCACATCAAACACTTGAAAACAGCAATCAACTGTCAGTAATGCCTCTGTTGTTGCTGGTGGCTTGTGAGCTCCTTCCTCCAGGCTGCAGTGTTGACTGCCTTTACTCAAGCTTGTCTTGTGCAAGCAGTCACAGAATGTAGGTCCTGTCATGTCCAAAGACATTGTGTCACTCTGGTCATCCCTGACTCCTGGCTCTTACCATCTGTCTGCCCCTCTCTTCTGCATTGGTTCCCAAGCCTTGTGGGGGTAGGGGTAGTGATCTTGATACCCTAATAGTGGCATAGCACCCCACAGATATTTATTCTTTGCCCTTTCACTGGTTGTGCATGTCCATGTCAGCCACTGGCCACTATACAAAGAAACTTGTCTGAGGTCTGAGGGGTAAACTGATTGATGGGTACAGAGATATGAATCTAGAGGACAATTTGATACTTTGTCCATTTAGTAAAATAATAGTAATAAGTTCACCCTTGGGGCCTGTGAGCTCCCCATGGGATAGCTTCTTGGGGAGGAAAATTCAGTTGTTTTTTTATTTTATTTTAGTGTATGACCCAGTGTAGGTCAATCGCACTCTGGCAGATGCCCCTACATCCATGTGTATATGAGCAGTACAACTTGGAATTGGTTTGTTATAAAAAATTAAAAGAGTACATGGAAATTGGGGGGAGTTGGAGAAATCTGGGGTGGATCGGGAAAGAGTTAGAGGGAGAAATAGGAGAGTGAATATGATCAAAATTCATTGTATGCATGTATGAAATTTTCAAAGGATTAATAAACATATTATAATTGAAAAATACCTGAAAGAAATACATCAAAATGTTGATTTTTATTACCTCCAGATAGTAATTAGAAGTGATATTAACTTTTTCTTTATGTAGTATTTTCTGAATTGTGCTTAATAAGCATTAATTTTACCATTAGAAAAATATATTTGAGACAGAAGACTAGTGATTTCTCATCCAACCCAGGCAGCATAGTGAGATTCTATCTCAAAAAGAAAAAAACCCCAAGCAACCAACCAACACATCCCAGCTTTGAGAACCATGTTCTAAATAACCCAAGTACTCATGTTAAAGAAAAATGTTGACATATGTTTACATGAACTGCTTTTGTCTCAGTAATGAAAGGGTGTGCAAAGAGCAATTGTCCATCATCAAAAGGGCTCAGCATGTATGCTACTGCCACTTCAAAACTGTTCCCATATGTTGATCCCAGTGTCCATCAAAGTCAACTCTATCTTGAGCATCACACATTGTCTTCATCCACTGTCAGAGTTTTTGTGCCTTCTCTAGGGCCAAGAAATATGCAGCTAGAATCTTTTACTCCATGGCATCAATTCTACCCCCTCTTTTCAGCAGGCAATCTCTTTCAGCATGGAAGTTGCTGGTAAAATTGAAGAGTGTTAAATAGGTTATTTGGAAATAAAAGCAGACTGTCAGTACTGCTGCTTCCGTAGTAATATCAGAACCAAGCTTTGGATCTGGACAGAAATACACACAAGTAACTACTGCTGCTCTGACTGTGGTGTCAAATGATGGTTATTCATGATTTCACTGAATCCTGTGATATCATAATGTATGCTATTCTTTTTCTCTGTTCTCCTTCCTCCTTTCTTCATTTGTTTATTGGATATATGGGAGCACAGGAGGACAACGAACAAGAACATCCCACTCTCTAAGAGCACATGGCTAATGAATGTTAGATCTGAAGGTAGAATTCAGAGACTGATTCTGAAATGTGCTTATATCAGTCGAGTCCAATGGCTATCAGAATTGTTTAATATCAGTTTTACTAAAGAAGAATTTTAAAAACATAAATTCCTAGCTCTCATCTCTAGAAATTATAAATTTTGTACTTCAGGAATGGGACCAAAGAATCAGGTTCATGACACTCAGTGTTGCTAAACTTCTTCAACTTCTCAGATAATTTCTGAGTAACAAAGTGTAGGAAATTACCTTAGCTGGAGACATAGGTGATATGTGGTTGGGACTAAGGGTCCACGTTCTGGTTCCCATTTCTCCCACCTCATGCACAGTCAGTACAGTGGAGCCCCTCATCAGCTCCACTCACCACTGCCATCATCCATCTGATTAATACAGTTTGTGCACATGTCAAGGGGGGTGGAAGAGGAGAGTACCTAGTGGCACTGGTTGGTGGTGTAGGAATGCGGCAGACCTGTCAGAAACACTTTCCAGATTCCGCATTCTCTAAGGGATAATTTTTCTACTGGTATTTTGAGATCACAGAATTAACTACCGACACTAGAACTGCCATCTCCAAGGTGTTAATGCTAGAAGTCACCCTCAGCTTCCTAGCGTGACAAGTGTTTAATAATAGCTGCTTTAATGAAGTACCCCATGAGTCGGTTTCTAGAACAAGCAGTCAAATAGTGATAAGAAAGGAAAAGCAATCAAGCACAAAAGCAAATGCGATTTAGCAAGTAAAAATATTGGGGGGCAAACACTAAAACATTCACTTTTTATCTGAAATTTGTATTTAATGTCTTTGTCTTCTTTTTATATCTAACCATCACAGTGGGAAGCTCCCTTTCTCCCCTTAGTTTTGTTTAATTATTCCACAGTGGTGAAAAACTTGCTGTCTAGAAATATTGATTCCATACCATCATTCCTTGAATACATAGAAATTATCACTTAGTTCTCTAAAATTACATTGATGAACTCAACAGGCACTATTCAGACAAAGCTGTTTTTTTGGCATTGGGAGATTCAGGTGTGAGATAAGGAGAGAAGCTGAGGAAATGCTGCCTGGGTCAGAAAGCTCTTCAGAGAACAAAGGCATATGTCCTGACACTGAAGCCAGAGAGCAAAAAATAAAAGAAATTCTCGGGAGAGTGTAGTGCTTACTGTAGACTATAGTTCAACATCTGTTCTCTAGAATTTAGAAAGATTTGCATCTACAAGGGCCATAGATTCTTATCCAGGATGTGGGTTCATATAGCAAATAGTTTCTCAGTGTATTTTCCAGCCCCAGGAGTCAATAATTTGGTGTACTGAAGTATGGATAGCTCTGACACTTTTGCATTGAATATCAGAACAAATAAGTGGTGGCATAGTCATATAGCTTGATAACATGCCATTTAGACTGCCTGGGGGCTGTAGCAAAGCTAAGCACCAGTGATAAGAAGGTCCTGGTTTATTTTATTGTTATTTCTCCCCATTGCTGAGGCACCAATGGTCACTAAGAAAGACAGGTGTCTTGGCTCAATCACTTGTAACCATATAAGCCACATGTCAAATGTGAACTTGACATTTCCTTATTTCAGTTACTTATTTTTTCCAAAGAAGAATATAAAACTTCACAATGTGTGTGTGGGGGTGGGGTGGGGGGAAGAAAATAGCCCTTGAATGTAAACTATGGAAAACAATGCAATACACTTGAGATAGGTGACTTTGAGCATTCCTTGTAAAGATAGTGTCAACCAACAATGAAGAATAACACTGGTGCAAGGGCCACTGTAGAACAGACACATTCTAAATACTGTTAGGAATAACAGGGCTTACACCTCCGTAGTGATGGATGCAGCCATTATGTCTGTTTTAGGGAGGAGGGAACCGGAAGAGAGGTCCCACAGTTTGCCTATGGTCACCCAGGAAGGACAAGGTACCCTTTAATCTGCTTCTAATGAAACCCTGATTTCCTGACTTCATTTGAGTTTGTTCAATACTACGTTTCTAGGGAGGACTTAATCAGTTTTTTGAGAAAACATGGCATTCAGTCCCATTTCAAATTAGGAAGAATCTTTGGCTCAATTCCTTTAGTCTCTAAAAGTCCCTTAGCGCCTTTTCTTGGATAATTAGTTGCGAACAATATCAATTATATCTAAGTGGGCAAATTGAATTACTACAGACGAGCGATTGATTTTTTTAATTATCATTGATTGCTCAGTGGTTATCTCAGTGTAAAGATTTGTACATTCTGAATCTTTAATTTAATTGCTTTATTAAGGAGTGCAAAGGCTGGCACCACAGTGACAGTGAAGTCCCCTCTGGCCCCTTTCCTCCTCAGTGATGTGGCAAAAGCCTTCGACATTCACTAAAAGCCAACAGTCATGAAACAACATGGAATCATATATACCTTTAATTCTTTCTCATTTTAGGGGATTTGTGGGATTCACAATATTCTTGGGAAGGATTTGGGCTTGCCACAGTGACTCTTTTATCAAATATTAATATTTTAATCCTTAAGTCAAATTTATAGTAAGTCCAGTTAAAATATAGCCAGCAGGGACTGATGTGAATTTAAAAGGCCAGAAGCAGTACTCTCCTCTTTAAATCTGTCTGACCCTCTGCCTTCCAATAGTGATAACTAAGTGTGTGGTTCTCCCTCTCCTTCCCCCTTTCTTCCCGTGTATCCCTCTGCTTCCCTCCTTTCCTCCTCCCCTTCCTCCTTCCCTCCTCCCCTTCCTCCCTCGCTCTCTCCCCTGTCTTTCTCCCCCTCCTTCTCTCTCATATTTTAGACAGACTCTCATTTAGTTCCCCACTATGTTTTTAAACTTGTCCTCTTACCTCAGTCTCCATAGTCAATCGCATCTGTTCTGCGTTTTCGCCAAATCTGTAGCTGCGCTTTAAAGTCCTGTGTATAAATCTGAGGAACATTAATATCTCTAAATATTAAGATAGCTGATACTTATGGGCAACCAAGATATTGGCATTGTTTTGATGTGGAAAAATTGTCTAGGACTAACCCTATTAGTAATCCAGTCTGCCGAAAGAGGTACCTAGGGACTTACCAGTTTCAAACAACCATTTGCTATTTCTCATAAGCCCATGAGTCAGGTAAGCAAGTTCTCTAATGAGTTTTCTCTAGTCTGTGCTACTCTCAGCTGTTCTGAGTTGGGCTTCCTGAAATCAGCTGGTGAGTGGGCAGGGAAGTGGCCGGTCTAGGATGGCTCCAGCTGGGACAATTTGGCTCTTGCCTATGGTCCTCATTCCTTAGCAGCTAGCTCAAAGTTTTCATAGCAAAGGAAGAGTGTTCCCAACACTTTGTGAGACCCAGCCTATGAACACACACCACTGTAACTACACAACTCCAGCCTCCAAGGCAAGCTCCCAGACAGCTCAAGGAAGCATGCAGGACAAGACATTTGACACCTTGAGTGGAGGAACCACATAAATACTTTGTAAGGGTGGTGAATCTTAGCCATCTTTTCTCCATCTGTTTACCATACTAATTGAGTAACTTACATACATTTAAATTAACTTACACAACTCCTTCCTCGTAAGTAGATTTGAAAATTCAATTTTCAGGTCATTGTGTTGTTTATATTTTTATGTATGCCCATAAAACATTTACCTATATTTACATTTTTGTGATTAGCAATTATTTGGAAAATATTTAAGATATATTTCTATTTATTAAATATATTTGCTATATGAACATTTTCACAGGGAACTAAAGTAATCCTAAGACATTTTCAAAGGAATTGTTGGACTTCTGAGGACCATTTCATGCTATTGGTGCCTGTGTTGCGCTGGAATTGTTACATGCTTTCTGACTTAGCCTCCAAATGAGTAGTTCTCAACCCATGGGTCGTGACCCCCTGGGGGTTGAACAACCCTTTCACAGGGGTTTGCCTTAAACGATTCTGCAGATCAAATACTTACATTACAACTCACAACAGTAGTGAAATTATAGTTATGAAGTAGCAGCAAAATAATTTTATGTTTGAGGTCACCACAACATGAGGAACTGTATTAAAAGGGTCAAAGTCATAAAGAAGGTTGAGAACCACTGTTCTAAAGAGTCAAAGTAAGTGAAAAATTGAGACAGTACAAATAAAAAACCCAGGTCTTCTGTCCCATCCTGCAAAATAAGAGGTATGTTGTGGCTTTGTATGGTGTTTTAGCTAGAATGAACTCATCTAAATGACAACGTTAATTTCTGTAACACTATTGCTCATGATTTTGTTTGGATTTAGGCATTTGACTGTATAATGAGAAACTTCTGGATGATTTTTTCCTCAACAGTACCAAATATACATCTTTGTGGAAGAACAGTCTGATTTTGGCATGTAGTTGGCATGTTTATATATGCTGTGTAACCAGATGGGCTACACCATCTGGGTAATTCCAGAGGTTTGGTTGTAAAGTGTGTATTTATGGTTAGGATGTAGAGATAAGCTATCTGAATTACACATACTCACTTGGCAATACCCCTAGATTCCAACATCCCTTCTCTATGTTGGATCAAGTTCAGGAACAATTTAAATATATTTTCACAACATTTTCTAAATGACTGTATTGTAATTCAATGTTATATTTGGCAAACTCAACCTAGAACACAGTAGCTAATGGTGCAAACTGATTTTATTTGCATACCATTGTTAACCACTTTCATGTAGTACTTACCCAATGTGTCAGATTATTATGATCTATTTAATGACTTAATGGATGAGATACATTGTTCTTAAATTCAATTATACCCTTTGCACCTCTGAAATCAAGGTCACGTCAGCATTTCTATTATGTAAGTGTCTGGGTTTAGTAGTTTTAAACTAAGCTATAAAAGATAGCTTCCAAATCAAATTGTAGTAATAATGGTCAGTGCCTAAGGGGCCCAAATTTAATATAGATATAATTTTTATGCATCCCCTGCTTCCTAAAATATCTTTAAGGAAAAATTCCCTTATAGTACATGCATAGCAGATGGAAAGGTTTTCATTTCCCATTTACTTTATAATGCTAGGCTTTCCTGCCTTGTTGAATGGCAGCCATATCTCAGACCATCTGGCTTTTAATCTATACTCCAGTGTTTACTGATTGCATCACCTCAGGCTGTTACTTAACAACTTTATATCTCACCTATTAAATGGACTATTAACAGTACCTACTTCTTAGAGTTGTAGTGAGGATTAGTTAAGATGCTGTGGGTATGTGTCTGGGATCCTATGTATGATTTGCACAACAAGAGTTAGTTGTTTTTGTGATTAGATAAGAAATTTCATGAGTCCATTGAACATCAGAAAAACATCTGGAAATCCTAGGCTACTGAGGTGAGACTCAGCATTCTCAGATGGTTATGAAAGAGGCTATAACTAGGTGACAATCATCACTGACATCAGTAATTCTTCAGAAATGAAAATTTTTATTACTTATGAAATGCCGTGATATTAATAGATTTTCTTGGGAAGAAATGAAATTTCCAGTCGTTTTAGTTAATTTTTTAGCCCTAGTTAAAATGATATTGTTGGTGAAACACTAGACAGCTCTCATTACCTGCGCATTAATCATGAGAATATAGATACATTGCCTCACCCCAGGTGTGGGGACAGAGCCACTTTTTCACTGTTTTTTAAGTTAATCAACAGATTTTGTACTGATCCTGTGCTTACTTTGTTCCTAAAATGCACACAGATGAATTCTACCCTCAGAAGTTGGAAAATGGCTGATTCATTGATAAGTGAACACGTTTTCCCATGTACTCACAGAAGAATCACTACCCTTAGCCATTGCAACTACATGCTTCCGCAGGGGACAGATGGCTGTGGGAGGGATCCCACACTGAAGCATGACAAATGTGGCATACATGACTGCACAGATGCTTCAGATTCCCCCCAAAGTGAGTACATGTGTTGGATGTCACAAGCCCTTGGAATTTTCAGTAATAAATATATATATTAGAAACTTTCATGTCAACACATACTGTCAAACCTTGTAAATTATAATTCTTAACTCAATTACTTGAATTTCACCTCAATTAAAATTCTTCGGTTCAATTCAGGTTGATTTTAATCATGTTTTCCATTCTCTGACATAATATGATGACACTCTACCACTGTGATCTGTTGTTTTTACCCTGCCATTTTACAAATAGAATCCTAGACTTAGAAAGTCCTGAAGAACTCAGCTTTGTGACTGAGTTTTGACTGTATGTGAAATGACTGTTCATATGAATTCTTTTTACTAGAGAGAAAATAATCTCCGAGCTTCCCTGGACAAAAGTAGGAGGCAGAGAATATACAAACACAGCAAAGGGATAAGAAACTAGTGATGTGGAGAAGGTGAAGGATAAAGCCTTATAAACTGAAATAAGATTATTTAGGGGAATCATCTAAGTATAGCTATAATTCATCTGATATATATATATATATATATATGTATACATATATATATATAGTGTGTGTGTTTATTAATATTTTGTTTTATTTTTGCTTATACCTAAAAGTGTGTGTGTGTGTGTGTGTGTGTATGTGTGTGTGTGTGTGAGTGTGTGTGTGTGTGTGTGTGTGTGTGTGTGTGTGTGTGTGTGTATGTGTACACATGGGTGTAGATGCTTGCAGAGTTCAGAATAGAGCATTGGATCCCCGGAGTTGGAGTTACAGCAATTGTGAGACACCTGATGTATGTGCTGAGAACCAAACTCAGGTCCTTTGCAAGAGTAGCATGTGCTCTCTCAGCTTCCCAGCCATTTCCCCAGCATGGGATTCAAATATATTTTTAAAAGTTGAAAATGATCTATAGCAAAGAATAAGCAAAGTGGATGTCATTAAGAATTCTGCATAATAGATCAGGTCTGACATTTTCCTAAAAGTCCTTATTGCTATTTAATAAATTTCATTTAGCTATATTGACTGAAAAAATGGCCAACATGAGCAATCATATTTTTTTCTTAAAATTGGACTGCAGTTATCATTCAGCTGGAAAGAAAAATGCAGTAGAATTGTACAATGGAATTAGAGTGTCATGTGTCTAACCAAACAGATGTACAAAAAACTACCCAGGACACCGGTGGATAAAGTCCATAAGACAGGCTTTCCTGAGAATTGGGCTTTTGATACTACTAGTTCATTGGCATATTAATGAAGGAGTTAATAACTAATCTTAATATTTATTGGTCAAGAGTGAATCGCTATCAACCCACTCAGGTTTAGGTATGGAATAAGATTAATAATTTTGTCAAAACTATAGAATGCAAACTTTCTAGAGGGGTGATGACTAACTGGACTTTGAAGATGTCTTTAGTGCTATAATAAGAACATCTGATGTTGTGTGGGTCCAGATTATTATTTGAAGGACAAGATAATTGCAATGTAAGAGTCAGAGTAAGATATAGCCCTAAACTTCCCAAACTCTTCCAACTCAGGTGGTTCTCTGTGGTGGCCCTGGGTTACAGATACATACTTCTAATACTGTACATTTTCCATTGTATTTTATCAGTTTGCATACTGTTAGCTTCTGTGTTTGTTAACACAGTAGGAGATTCTGTGTCTTTTATAACACTGAGTGTGGAGCTGTGTATAACAGTGCACAGTGCATACATGTGCATAGCAATATATAAGAAGACAACATAATCATGATGCTATGATGCTTCTAATTCCAGGGATGAATGAGCTGACAGGCAAAACCAATGTCACAGACCTGATTTCTGTTTCTCAAAAACACCTTTTGACAGATCAAGTTATTTGAGTATCATCCAAAGACAAAACCCTAAGAAATCTTGAAGTTGGAAAAATCATCTACTGCAACTCCAGATGGTATTTAATAGAGAAGTAAGAGCCAGTAACTATTTTAAAATAAAAAAAATTAGGGCTGGAGGGATGGCTTAGTGGTTAAGAACATTGGCTGCTCTTCCAGAGGACTTGAGTTCAATTCTCAGTGCTTACATGGCACATCACAATTGTCTGTAACTCAAATTCCAATAGATCTCACAGACATACATGCAGGTCAAATACCAATGCACATAAAATAAAAGTAAATTATTAAAAAATTAAATTACATTTATGTGCATGCTTGTGTATATGCATGTTTATGTGTTTGTGTGTATGTGTAAAGCTTAGAACATCTACAGCAAAAAGTTAATATCAATCTGTAAGAAGGATTATCAATGCTTTTTAGTGTCTTCTTTGCAATTTTTTATGTTTAATAATTTTTACAATGACCATATTTTATTTATATAACCAGGAACAAATGTATTTAAATAAAAACCAAAACACAGGCCATCTCCACAGCAAACCTAGCAATGAACTCTTAGGTATTCCAGTTATAAACACTTAAGTAATTGGAAATAGAGGATACCATATAAAGTAGTCACCAGGGGATTCACTTTGAATAAAAAGCCCAAGGAGCTTGTTTCAGATTGTGTCAACTTTCATGTTACTAATATAATTAAAGCAAGTAAATCAGGTGGGCAACATGCCAGTCACCCTTCACACACACGTCACAACTGTCTGCATGTTCACTCTCTTCACCTTGCTCAATTTTTACAGTTTTAATATGAATATCAATTCTCTTTTTCATAAACCCAACCTATAAATGCCACAACCCCTTGGAGGGATTTCCTCAGGCTTCATTTTAAGCTCCAAAGAAAGGATGTAAAAGAGACTTTTCTTTTGTAAAGTGGTTCTATAATTCTGTCCAGTATCCATCATTTTCAAGGCCAAGTAATCATATTTAATAGATCCTAAATTACATTCTGTCAGGCAAGGATTCCCTTGATGATATTAACCAGTATGGAGGGCTGACAGTGGGAGGCCTGCAACTATGACATTGTTCTATGGCGGGCTCACACATGTTCCTTTGCAGGAGCTGACCCTACGAAGTCTGCGGTGGTGCAGGACCTCAGCCTCCATCCATCTTTAGCCTTCCCGGAATTACCTATAAACTCCCCCCACCCCCTGATTTCCTGTCCTAAAAATCACTTTTAAAATTTAATTACTTGGCACAGTTTTGACCCTCTCCTTTGAGGAAATTACCATCATGAATTTATTTTTACAATCTTACTCCCGCAAGACAGCTAGAGGTGTAAGACTACCTACGCTGTGTCCACGGTGAAGAACTGGAAAGATAAAAGGGTGAATAATGGAGGAAGCTAGAGAGATGCCCTCATTGCTTGTGCAGTGTTATAACAGTGTCACGAAGTCCAAGTCTGTGGACATTTTCTTGACAGGAAGGTAAGGCCATGGTGCCAGAAACTATGCACTTCACAGTCAACGCAGGAAAGGGAAGAATTGTGAACCAGATTTCCACTAAGGGAAAGTTCTTATCACTCTGTGTTGGAGCATCTTTATGGGGTTAATGATTATTTATAATGAGATTTTTATATCTCAAAGGCATTAGGGAATAAAGATAAGAAGAAATTAAAACCTCACTCTTTTCACAAATTAAGCACGTTCAAACTTTTCGAGATTCAGTGATCAGAAAACTCAAGCACAGGTCTTTCTGTTAGAGCACATCTTCTTTCAGAATCCACATGCTGAGAGCATGCTGTGTGGCCAGCCTCTGGTGCTTATGAGCCTCAATTCTTCTCATACTTACTCTGTAGACTGTAGAGGGATTCTTTCCAGTGTTATACCATGATGCCTGCCTGCAAACAAGCCCCTTCACATTCCTGAAATCTGAGGATGGCTTGGACTCTAAGGATTTGGAAAACATTTGTTTTTTGAACGAGCTGTCTCACCACACAGAATTGGTTGTTATTTGCTCTGGAAAACAGGACTAATCCAGTTGCTCCAAATGTCAAGATATATGGATTTTGAAGCTCTTGTCTAAAGACACTCTTAAAATACTGAGTGGTACAGCAGGGCCTATATAGAATAATAAGTGCGATGAGCCCAAATTGGAAGAAAAAATTGTGAGTATATATTTGTTTTTATAATCCGAAGGATAAAAATTACTTTACACAGAGTGATGGATTCTCTCTGGGCGTTTTCTTCTTTCTCTTCCCCCTGTTTAAGTTCTTGTATTTGTGGCTTTCCTTTGCTCCTCATCACATATAGTTTTCCTTCTACTCAGAGCTATGCCTTCTCATTTATATTTCACCTTCATTCTTTTCTGGTTTTTTAATGTGCCCAAGGAAAAAATATAAAATAAATCCAGCCTCCATGCTTTCCCTTTAAATGTAATAAAGCACGGGTGCAGAAACAGAAGGCAGGAATCGCTTGGTTTCCTGATTGTTTCTTCTGTCTTTGGGCACCATTGCCTCCTCCTGAGGCTCTTTCTTACTTCCCCTTTCCAAGGAGTCACTTCCTGCTTTCCGATAAATCACCCAGGCTAAGATTTAAAGCATGCTTCCATGTTCTGATACACTACACTAGTTTCATTTTCATATCCTTCTAACCCAAATTGGTTTCTCATTGACAGGGCTCAGCTGCTCCCTCTCTCTCTCTCTGCATGCTGAATCACCAGATGGAAAGTCTCAGTCAAACTAGTATTATCATTTATTTCCACTGTGGAAATATTAAGCAGGTTGGAATTTGGTGATTTCTTTTGATTTTTAAAACAATAATACTATTATTAGAATAAAAATATTTGACAGTTTTTCTGAGAATGAATTTGGATTTCAAGGGGAGAGATAATTTAAAATCCAATCATCAGATCTCCAGTGAACCTCTGTGATTCACTGCGCTTGTGAGACCACCCCAGTTTCACTTCTGTTTCTATGATGGAATACCCTGATAAAAGACAACTTGGAGAAGAAAGAGTATATTCAGTTTACAATTCTAGGTTATAGTCTATTATGGAGGAAGCTGAGACAGCAGGGATCTGAAGCAGCTGGCCACGTCATATGCACAGTTAAGAGGAGAGAGAAATGAATGCATGTATGCTGCCTGCTTGTTGGTGCTCAGCTCCGTTTCTCCATTCAGCTTAAGACCCCTTGACTAGGAAATGGTACCACCTACAGTGGGCTGGGTCTTCTACCATCAATTAACTTAATTAAGACAATCTCCCAACAGACATGCACACAGGTTAACCCAACATAGACAATCCCTCATTGAGACTTTCATATAAGGTGATTCTAAGTTGTGTCAAGTTAACAAAGATAATCATCACAAGGGTTCCCCTTCTCCATGCTCTTATTTTTTTTTAAGAGACTTACCACTCATGTTTTAATAGAGTAATTTTAAACAAACATTTCTACTTTCAACCCATTGAACAAACAATTACAGCTGGTGGTCACAGTTTAATTTTTAATTTTTCAGGGAGTTTTTGCTTCTATTTAATCTTCACTAAAACACCAGCCAGTATGTTAGGTACTATGTTAGGCATTGGAGTTCAGATAAAAATGCTTCTTGACTCTTACTTCAGAGTCTGGGCAGGAAACTATGGGAACACAGGTAATGGTATTGTGAGTGTCAATAAATTTATATAAATGGTACTCAGTATTTTTTTGTTTTTGTTTTTGTTTTTGTTTTTTACATACATAAGATTCTCCCTCCCTTTGTAGCTGTCAACTGCCAATAGCTCCTCAGTAAAGGGTAGGGCCAAGAGAGCATCTTTTTTCATCTGTGCTGGGATTTTGGCAAGTTTGATCTTAATGCTAAATTGTATGGGTAACTACAGCTGTTCACAGCACTCCTCATTGTCCAGCTCTTTCTGTTTCCTCATCCATGATGTTCCTTTTAGCCTTAGTGGCATGGGATGTGGGTTAATTAATATTGATACCCCATTGCAGGGCTGACCATCCAGTCTCATATTCTCAGCCCTATGACCAGTTATGTATTTCTCTTATGACTGCTGCCCACTGCAAAAAGAGGCTTCTCTGACCAAAGTTGAGAGTCATCCAGGTCAATGGATATATAAATGAATATATAATTAATATATACATAAATATATAGAAGGTATTCGACAGCATGACTATTTAGCAAAATAACAATATAAAGTTTACTCCAGGGCCTAGAACCCATAAACCATGGACTGTTGTTTCATAAAATTTGCCCCTGTAGCATGCCTCATCTCCAACCAGAAAGTGGTTACTACCACATAACAGGTGTGCCACTATGGCACCAGTGGATATATCTTGCCTGAGAGGTCAGTGTTGCAGCATGCAGGGTCTGGGAGTGTTGGGTGAGAGCATTGATGTGTTTCCTCCCAAAGCAGCATATAAAACATCTTATAGCATTAGGAAATCTAGCCATCAGGGAAGCAGTTTCCTAGTAGGTTTGAGATTGGTTTCTCGATGTCCTGAAGCTAAAATGTGTGGTAGCTGAAGACAGATTATATTGATCTCTTTCTTTCCAGACTCAAGCACAGGGCTCTGACCATTACAATCAATTATTCTTCAATGATAACTTAAATAAAATGGAGATGTCATACTTGAAGAACAGTTGGAATTTACACATGTTCATGTATACTAACTCTAAAAGCAAAATAACATGTTACCTTTTGTAAGGACTTCATCTAAAGAGGTTTTTTTTTGTCTTCAGAGCTGTGTTCCGGGTGTATTATAAACAAACCATTCAAAGCCAATATTAATAACCTTATATATGATGTACCAGTTCAGACGTAGTGCTTGCATGGTTTCTGGTAGATGTTTCTTACTCTTCCCTATTTTTTTTTTTCTGCTTAGAAATAAACACAAAAGTGGGCCCAAATCAAGGGGCATTGAGGAGTCCCACTCCTTTGCTTACCTGGTCTTCCCACGATGATCTAGAATGAGATTTACTCTTTTTCTCTTCTTTGTAGGGACTGCTCCTTCTGTGGGGACACAAGCATATCTGGATGATCTGCTGCTGACAATATCCTTCACGGACCCAACAATTATCCAGTAAAGACCCCTGGGCAGCAGCTGTTCTGTGCCGATCTAGAGAGTCTCCTGCACTTTTGTCTGCAGGAGTCTGTATTGTTCTCCTGCCTTTGGGTCATGGTTTCTTTTAGCCTTTCTTTCTAGACTGACACCTCCAGTCTTAAAGAAACATCCTTCTGGCTAGAGTCACTTGTGTGGATTCCTGATGCACAACACACTCTGAAAAAACTCACCTTTTCTCATGATGCCATTCTTCATTCTCTGTTGTTTCCCTTTCACTTCTGGCCAAGACAACAGGAGAAGTCTAGGTGGTCTTTTTTATGGAAAAGGGAAAGGTTCTCTTCAGAAGACAACCAGTCCTTTCAGGGCAACAAAATGATGACTATGTAAGAGGTTTTTTGTTTGTTTTGTTTTTACCTTTGTTTTTTTTTGTTTGTTTGTTTTGTCTTTTTAAAACTCAACTCTAAAATGCATAAAGGAGTCGTTTTTGGATCCAGAGGCCAAATGTAATGTGAGAAGCCAGGATAAAGTCTTAGGATTCCTTTTAGCCTTTATTATCAAACTCTCTTGCAATCTGTTTCCTGTAATGAAAAGAAAGCTGCCGTGCTTCCTCCTTGCTCATCACTGGCTGTGATTTTGCTGATCTATGGTCGATGCATATGTGCACAACTTTAAATAAGCTAAGGATGCCAGTTAAGGTACTAAGAAGAAAGAGAAGAGGCACTCACAAGAATGTAAGGAGGCCACTTGAAAGGATGTAGGTTAAGTTTAAGGGACTCGGGGAAGAAGAGTAAAGGACCGCAGGACTGGCAATGGTTGGGGGTGGGCTTCACCATCCCTAGGCTTCAAGAGGTTGGAAAAGAGAAGTTACTAGAACCCTAAAATACAGCTGGTGAAGAACTGGACATAGTAGAGGCTTCCCCTGTCCCAGAGGGGGGTTACCACTGGCAATCCTTCCTGATGTTGAGAGCAGTCTCTGACATCACTATGACTCCTCTATCTTCATCTCTCTTGCCTGTCTCGTCCAAGATTCTCCTACTACTTGGATGAAGCCCAAATTTGGAGGGGAAGGAAGCAGAGATGGTACAGTGAGCAAAGGTTGGCGTTTCACAGCTTAGAGCAAGATGACAAGGTCAAGGAGTGCACCTGGAGGGGTGATGCCAAAGATACTTGTCTCACTGGGTAAGTGTCCTCAGCTTGGGTCAGTTTTCAAAGTAAGAGAGTTTTCCTGGGGGCAAATGTACTATGTTGGTGAAATCTCCTAAAAGCCTATAGAACCAAAATTTCCCACAATACTATTTTTCTAAAATAGCCAAATCCTATAGTAAGTAGAGGATTTCCTACAGTCTTGGGGTCTCCCAGCATCTTTGGCTTACAGTTTTCTCCCAAAGCTCTTCAGCCTCCAGCATCATGATCGGGCAGAAGTTGCTCTTGTGGTAGCTGCTTATGCAAAACTATGGTTTCCTTGGGGCTGTATTTGTTTGCATTCCTTTCAGCAGCTGCGGTGAAACCACAAATCAACCCCCCCTCCTTTGCTGTCTTTCACTAGAGGTGAACTTTCTTTACAAAACATCTACTTACTGGTGGCCATAGGATGCTTCTCTTCTCCCGTCTGGCACTCCCACCCCTACACACCACGACTTCATCACTCACCTCCTTTCCTTCAAAATCCACAGAACAATGACTGCAGAGAAGACAGCTTTGAAGGAAGCAAATCATCAATGTTGTTATATAATCAGTTCTTTAAAGTCCATGTCAAGTGGCCGTTTTAGACTTCTCTAAAGAAGAGGCTTGGGAGGGTGTGCCTCCTTCTCGGCACGGTGGGGTGGTACAGTTTCTTGCCACAGCTGCTGTAGAATAATTACAGCACGACTGTGTGGCCCTCTACAGACATCTGCTCTGTGAGGGGAACCAAAGCCCTTGCCAGAGGGCTGTCGGCTCCATGCTGAACACACATGCCAGGCCTCAGAAAGAGCATGATTAAACCCAGGAAGGAGATTAACACCAGTGCTCACCCCTTGTTAGGGACCAAGGTGAGAAGTGCTTTGGAACCTGCCCTCACACTCCCTTGCAGAGGTAAGTTTTGAAAACCTGAGCCACACTGTGAAACCAAGAGTTTCTGCATCATGTGCTGAACAGCATGTTTGCTGTGGGGGCCTGGGAAAGGTGTTGACTGTGATGTGACAATCCCTTAGGAATGTAGTGACAGCATCACGTCCTTTTTTACCAGGTTCCTGGGGCATATCTTTCTGTCCCACAGAGCCCTGTGCATGGTGGGACAGCTGAGGGCCAAGTGCAGTAATGGATGCCAGAGTTTCTGTAGACTGTAAAGCACGCCCCCCCACAACACTCTGATCGCATCAGCCTTTGTTGATGGACAAGCTTTGCCAAGAGCCCCCAGGGAGCTTCAGAAAACAGAAGAAAATTATAAAGATTAATTTCATACTTTAGATAAAATTTAAATTCATTTATCTGTAATTTAATATGTTAAACATATTTAAAGTATCTTAGAAATCCACTGAACTTTGCACTGAATACCTTATATAATTTTTAATCCTTCTAAGAATCCTATGAAAGAGTCATTATCCCCACCACCCCCAGAGTCCATTTCCTTAATGTGAGAGTCCTGTTCTCTCTTGGTAGTGACTCACAGCTAATGAAAGTAGATGGGGCAGTGTAAATTGCCAGGGCTGGCTCTCTAGAATGGGCCTGCTGTTTTGTACATCTACATAAATCCTACAGGACGAGGTGCTCAAACTTCTTTATTCAGGGCTGGAAAGAGCCACACAGAGCTGGAAGACATACTCCAGCATCCAAAATAGTCAGAGAAGTGGGGGCTCAACTCTACTGAAGAACACACAGTACAAGTTCATATACTTTCCCTGGGAAACAAGAAAGTTTATAGATAGTGTCAAAATACCTCTATTTTTTAATATCAAATGTGTTATATTTGTCATAAAATCATATGATATATAAAAAATATCACATATTTACATAGGTTAAAATAATTTTAAAGCACATTTTTGTATTTACAGTCTCTCCCTTTATTACTACATTTTCATTTAATGGTCTTTGTGTATGCATATAGTGTATGTGTATGCATGCACATGTATGTGGGTAAACTTGCCCATGTGTGTATCTGTAGAGATCAGAGGTTGACACTGATGTCTTCCTCTACTACTTTCTATTTTAATTTTTGAGATGAGGTCTATTTCTCAACTTCGAGCTCCCTGTTTATGTTAGGCTGTCCAGCCAGGCAGGGCCCTGTGGATCCACCTATCTCTACAGAACCCCCTCATACAGACACAGTGTCACACCCAGCTTCTCCATGAGTTCAGGGAATCAGAACTCAGGTCTTCCTTCTTTTGCCACAAGCACTTGGTCTACTATGCCATCTCTCCAGTCTCCTCATTTCGTTTTGTTTGTTCTCAAGAATGAAAGTTTCCAAAGCATTTGTCTTTTACTTTCCATTGAGTTAAATGTATTTATTTTAAAGTGAAAGGACAGTTCACCTTTTTACCAACTCAACCTGTATTTATCAGATTCATTAACGTCCATAGATTACCCATGATGCTTTGGTATCCAAGAGAAACTATTCATCAAGGGGTATTGTTCCTTCAAGATGTGCTTATAGAATCGGAAACAAGATTTGTTTTCACTCCCTGATAGTGGATAAATTCGAATTACACTAGCTAAAGAAGAAATTTCTCTTTATTCGTCAAATGGAAGTGCTCAGAGATTTCAAAGAAATCAATTTTCTAGTTTTTGAGTCCTCTTATCCATAAGTACAATACTGTTTGATGGCATTGTCATCCTCGTGAGGCAGTAACGAAAACTGCAGCATTTCTCCCTAAATGTTCTTGAAACGACTTGGTGGACAGATAGATTCTAAGTCTGGCTCAAAGCTTTATTGCAAACTAACCACGGGGGTGAGGCCTTTATGTGCACCACTTCGGGATTCTCTGTGGGGATCCAGTAGGAAAAGTGAATGTTAATCTTTGTTAAACTGGCTACAAGAAAAAATACTGTCGGCTTAAAGGCTATTAGGCTGGCCAGCCAGCTGGGTGGGTAACCCTGGCTTCCCAGAAGTCCTTAATCTCATTTAGATCCATCAGAAGTGTGTTCAAGCTTTCAAACAGCAATGCCAATTACTTCCCAGAGGAGCTGGTGAATTATACCACATAAAAAGTTTGGCCCTGAGACCAGGTAGAGAACAATTTTTGTTCTCTGTGTGATTATAACTTATGTCAAAAGGTATCATCCATTTTGGGGGTTTTTAAATAATAATTTTAATCTAACATTTGATTTAAGGTGGCTTGCCCTTCTGAAATAAAGCTATGAAATGCTTAAAAGTATCTTCCAAACTTTCTGCTTCTTGACAGAAATGCAGTAGTTTTGAGGAGTTGGCGCTAACATGAACTAATTTCCAAACAAACCCCCAGAGTCCCCTGGCAGTTACAGGAAACACATAGTAAAGTGTACCATGGGCAGACAGTAAGCATCATCTAGGCTGGGAGGAACACTAAAGTGTCTTAATCCTAATTCCTTCAACAAGCAAACTACAAAGAGTGGGAGGAAAGGAGAAGGGGGAGGAAGAGAGACAGCGCCTAGATTAACACTTGAAAATCTTGCCACTCAATTATGGTATGTGGATTTATTTGGATCCATATTCTAACAAATACATTATGAAAAGAAAACTAGGCTGTTCATAAAGCAGCTGAAAATTAGTGCTCTCATTGATTATTTCACATTAATAGTTTGTTGCTTATTTTTAAAATGTAGTGATGCTGGGTTTGTGTGTAAAGAGCCAGTTTTTGTATTTAAACTATAGGTATACAATGAAAAATATGCAGATGAAATGATACGTTGTCTGAGTTTTCTTCAAAATGATATTTGAGGGAGAGAAGTGGGTTGGAATAATGATGAATCCTAATCAGCCTGAATTGGCAATTACTGAAGTTGGGTTATGAATGTTTGAGAGGTATTTATCTATTTATTTATTTATTTATTTATTTATTCATTCATTCATTCATTCAGTTTTACAAGTCTGCCTGCATTTATATTTGCTAGAAACCCTCAATAGAAAATCTAAACAAAACTAGACCATCAGAAATGAGTCTTTGGGCTGTTGGTAACTTCACTGGTTCTCTGCCCAATTGTTTTAGAGCTGGCAGCCCCATGAGGCCTGGTCACAAAAAGCAGGTGCCACAGAATCAACCCCCACTGCAGTCCACATGCAGATGTCATGCTAGCAGGTAGTGTAAAGTAACTGTATCCTTTGGAGCACAGCGTAAAGAAAGAAAGCAATCATAATGAGGCACAAAGAAACACCCCCAGCTCATGTGTTGCTGGGGGAAGGGGGCATTTATCTTTCTTTTGGAAATAAAAACTCGATGGTATTTGTTAACTGTGGATAGGAAGGAGAGGGATAATTAGAAAAGAACATGGTCCCACATTTGTCTGAGAGCAGAATAGTTCTTCCACAGGCTGAACCATATCAGGGCCTCTTCTGGGAAGAAGTCAGCAGTTCCTTAGTACTGCCCAGATGTTACTGAGGACCAGAGCCACAGCTTCCACAGGCCATAGTGATTCATTGCTCTTCTTGGGTTCTTTCTGATAACATCTCCTTTGCAGTCTCTTCTTCCCCCCTTTCCTTTTCTTCTCCATAGATGTTTGGCTAAAGAGAGAATTCATTGTTTTGGCTTACTCAGAGGTCTGAAATAAGACTCTGGAATTTCTTACAATCAATTTTTCTGATGACTTATTTTTTCCCCCATAGCCAAGACACCATAAAAGCTCACCACTCACGATAAAAGCATGAGGTCCTAATTTTAGTAGCCCCGGGGAGATGATGGCAGAGAGAAAGGAATACAGAGGGCTAGGGCCCAGTGAGAAGGCGAGGCTGGGGTTTAGAGGAACACGGCAAAGGGAGTTGCTGTGCTTGGCTGTCGATGTAGGATCCTTTCTTGATCTGTCTCCTTTTTGTTCCATTCCTTCATCTTCCAGATAGATGACATCTCTGTTCCTGTACTTGTGTCCCTTACAGCCTCTTACTCTTTTATATCCACATTTACTTCATCTACAAGTCCTGCTGGTGACATTCAATATCAGTCATAACCCAATGACTCCTTACTACTGCCGTAACCAGAACACTGTTTCAGCCACCAACTCTGGCTCAGGTGACTATAACAGTTTCCAAATCCGTCTTCCACCCTTGACTCCTTTAGTCTCTTCTCAACTGAAGAGCCAAACAATCCCTCAACAACACAAGTTAGAATCTCTCTCTTCTCTTTGCTCAGGAGCACGGAATGTCTTTCCAGTTTACTCCAAGCAAGAGCTAACACTGTCCTGCTGGGCTACGGGCTTGCACAGCCTACTTCCCTTGCCCAGTGTGCCTCTCTTCAGCTTTCTCTTCACTCATTCCCACTGCAGTCACCCAATTCACAAGACTGAGCATTGACTGCTCCCTCTGTCTGTGTTCCTGCCCTCCACACAGGGCCATGGCTCCTTCCACCACTCCAACATCTCCTTTACAACTTAGAGTTAAAGCTTCCCAGTGGAGTCATTTTGGCTCCTCTATTTAAGCAATTACCACCTTCCCTTGAGCCCTCTGTGCCCCCCTTCTCTGCTTCTCTCTGTGCTTGCTTGTTACCAAACACAGTGCACAGCATTTTATTTATTGTCCTTGTCCCAAGTGGTTCCCCTGGGGCTTAGGCAGAGATTTCATTTCTTTTGTTTGCTGGGAAATCCCCAAAGCTTCAAAAATATTTGTTCCGGCAGTGAATAAATTCCTCAAACTTTAATAATTCCTGGCATTCAGAACACTCTTGGGTGAGTGGTGCTTCGGGTGAATGGAACAAAGTGTCTGTGTGCTGGAGAGACAGCCGCTGGTTTTGAGCAAGGACATGGTGAACTAATCCTAAGAGATTAGTGGAAACAGACATTTACACAGGTGACAGTGGGACCGAAGCTGCTGGGAAGACTTAGGTAGCCTTCTTAGCCTGCCATACAGCTTGCACTGTTTTATTTGGGGACTAGAGTAATAAGGATGGTCATCGAAGTTCAGAACTACTCAGGGGCATTTGGTTACTTTAAAAATTGAAATTGTATTTTGAGAAGCAAGAAACATGTAAAAATTCTGGATATTAATACATCTTGTATTTTTGTATCTCATTCATGGGATATATTTAAGTATTTGAATTAGACAATTGAGCTCCTAAGTGTGGGGAGCAGATGAGTCCTGAGTGAATGTATAGTGTTGACATAAGCATAGTCATGTCAAGGATGCCAGTACCTCAGACCCATAAGAATGGCAAAGCCTTCCTTCCCCTGGTCTGAGTACAGACATCGACAAACAGTTGAACTTTATCTAAAAACAGTATGTGAAGAAAGTACCAGCAGATTTTTCATCTTGGAAGACTGAAGCCTGAGATCACTCTCCTAAAGAGATCCCCTCCCTACTGAGATTAGCTGACCCATCTTATCCTAGTTAGGGCTGTGTATTGTGTATAACAATGCCCTGAGTTTATGGGCTGTTGCTGGTACATCTCCATCTGAATTCACAGCCCCCTTCCCAGGTTTACATTACTTGTGTCTGTCATTTCTTCATTCTTCATCATCCCAGTCAGCTCAAGTACAAAGTCACACGGGCCATGACACCTAAGTAGCTTAAACAGGGCCGAGAAAAATCAGCTCTTTAGCCCAGACACCTTTATCATAAGCAGTTACCAGTTGAAACTGGAGGCTGAGGAAGGTGTGGGCAGTGTCAGGTCTTACCCTGTGCTTTGGCCACTTCTTTAGGAGTCACAAAGAAACGGAGCCAGTGAGGAGGTAAGAGTGAAGGCTGAGGAGGCTGAGCACACAATCCCTAGGTTAATGCTCATTTCTATGTTGACCCAATTGGACCAGACTATAGCAGATGTCATGGAAATGGTTAGTCTAATTGCACTGAGATAAAGATACCATTTATGTGGGAAGAAAAACACATCTAATGTTTTGTGGAAACAACTTATAATCCCTGTCTTTATCCAGGCCATTTTGTTAATCATCCTATGATCAAGACAACATCTGTAAGCCCTCTTCCTGTCTCCCATTCTAGTAATCTTTCATCCCATGGACTGCCATTTTTCAGGAAGCTTGCTGCTCCAACTGCTCTACATCTTTTGAGTCTTCTTTGAAGTTTATTTTTGTTTTGTATAAAAGTATTGAGGTCCTTATTCTCTCGGTCCAGCGATGCTTTCTCGGTCCAGCGATGCTGCTGAGGAAACCTAACAATGGGTGCAGAAGAGAAAAGACTTCATTGACTGTTTTTTTGTTGCTGTCAGAGAAACAGACATCCATGTTAGGATAATGTGGTTGTATGGCTTAGATAGCACAGAGGGAAAGCCCAAGCTCATCCTCCAGGGATTTTGCCAAGTTCTCATAATTCTCAGAAGGTGTCTGAGGACCATATATACTCAAGAGAACATTGGCAATAATGGTTATGTGGATGGAAAGTGTGTAACATGTGAGACATGTGCCACCCGTGTGCCTTTGCGTTTCATTCTGTACATCATGGGAGGCCAATGGAAAGAAAAATCACAATCACACTATAGATGAGGACAGCACTGGTCTGGAACCCAAATCAGTTAGGAGGCAGAACTCTAGCAAGAAAACCAGCCAGGGTGGAGTTGAGGCTTCTTGGTATCAAAGGAGCTTCTGAGCTCTGCTAAGCCTCAGCAGAAACAAGAGACCATGTGTAAGTAACACACCAGCAAACCAAGAAGGCAAGTGTAAGTAGTGAACAAATTACAATGTCTTACAGAGCAGGGAGTTAAAGGTTCATGATCTGTGAGGCTCCTGACCCCGTGCGCCATAAAATTGCTATGTTTCATGGCAAACCACCCATACCACATGCATTTTTATATTCAGAAGACACCTAGAAGAAGATCCTAAGAGCAAGGCAGCAGAAGCCTATGAAATCACCACGTTTCATCCAGAGATACAGAGCACTAAATAAAGGGACTCCAAATGGTTGCTTTGGACTAGTTTTAAACTAGATCAGTCCTAAATTATTTTTCCCTTTGCTATTCAGCATTCAGGGACTCTAAGAACATCTGTCTTATATATCTCAAACTACCAATCTTCAGTGTTCACTTATCTGGTAAAAAAAAAAAAGGAGTATCGAAGAATGTGTATAGTTGGTTCTAAATTGAGGATTTATACAAATCTCTAATAAAAACATTTGGGAAACAATGACATCTGCATTGAACATGTGCAGATATTTTTCTTGTCATTACTCTAAACAACATAGTATAAATAACCATTTGTACAATATTCTTAATATATTCGGTATTTCAAGTAATCTAGGAGTGACTTGAAGCACATGAGAGGTTGTATATAGGTTACATGAAAATATTCCATCATTTACATAAGGAACTAGAGCATCCATGGATTTTAGATCCCTTATACATAATGAATCTGGTCCTATGGACAGTGGGGAAGAAATATGAATCACTGATTATATACAACACCACTGGGTCAAATCAGAGCAGCCCTTACAAACTTCTTACCATTTTAGTATAGTGGAGAGAGAGTGGGCTTTCTGTCTCAGACTGATCTACATTTGGACCTGGCTCTTCTTCCTCCCTATGGGCGTTTGGGTGAATTAACTCACATCTTTGAGGCATGGCAGTCCGCAAATGGATTTAATGAATCCCAAAGGACTACTCTGAAATTAACTGGCATCTCAATGCAGAGTGCCCTGGGTAGGGCTTGTTACAGCACTAGAATATAGCAACAAATGCTCAAGCAAACATCAGTTTATTTTCTCATACCAAGGAATATGAACACTGATCAACAAATGATAAACTGTTTCCCAAGTTGACTTAGTGTTTGGTAGAATACCCAAATTAAAGTATTGACATTTAAGGAAGACATATTAATTTTATTTTAATTCTAGTTGCATTTATAGCTTACATATAGGATGTCTTTGTGAATCTTCATTTGTAACTAGATAAGGCTAATGGTCCAAAACGAGTTGTATGGTTAGTGCTAATGACGAATCCTAAACCACAGGTTCTGTGCCTGGGAAAGGACTGGTCATTTGGCTCACCCACTTGATTCTGCATGTCTCTATCACATGGAGAGAGCATGAGGTAGTCCTTAAATTTGACCCTTCAAATGCATCTACTCTCCATGTTGTGGTTGGGGTATGACCAAAGGGCAAGGGATTCTGAGTAGAACAGCCAAGTCCTTAGGGTCATTCAGATGCCCTGATGACTCAGCCAGGATGGGCTTGAAGGGTGACATCTGCTTGAAGCTGTGCTGGGGGCATGTTTAAAGGGAGCCATTCTTTTCTAGAAGATATGATATATCTTGAATGACTGAATTGGGCAACAAGCATGTGAGAGAAATTCTGCCATATCTTGTTGATTGAGAAAGCCGGCCAACAAATCCCTTTTGTTTCAACTGGTCCAAGCAACTCAAAGAGAAAGAAAGGGCCATTGGATAGTTGAGAGAAACAGATTCAATAAATTGTATATTCAACTTCTAAATTTATTTTTATTATTTTATATGTTCGGATGTTTTTTCCTGAATGTATGTCTGTGTGCCATGCATGTGCCTGGTGCCCACAGAGGCCAGAAGAAAGTATTGGATTCCCTGGAACTGGAGTTATAGATGGTCTTAAGCTGTCACGTGGGCACTGATAATCAAACCTGGTTTCTCCGGAAGAATAGCCAAGACTCTTAACACTGAGCCATCTTTCTAGCCTCTAAATTGTATGTTTTTAATTACTTTTGTATTTTGTATTCTGTCTACTATAAAATTTGTCTACTATAAAAATATGCTAATAAAATGATGGGCTTGCTTTCTTATGGGCTGTATTTTATATACTCTAAAAGGTGAACTGTGTGAGATAGGGCTGCTGTTAGTGAGGAAGGAAGCGAGGAGTGAATACCTCCATCCCATTCTGTTTCATTATGGAGAGAACAAAACCAGAAATTGCATAATTTGGGGATCTGAGCTCAGTGGTTGAACACTTCAAGTAGAATATGCTTGGGTTTACTCAGCTTTTGTCCCCACTTAGGTCTCCTGGGTTCTTCCTACTCATAGAGTTAATGTGCCATGGTTTCCTTCTGTGCTGTGGCTGTCCATAGTGCTGCAGAAAGGATGCACAGGAGATGATCCGTACTCCATCATCCCCTGCAGAGGATGATCTTATTCTCTTGGAGACATGAGTGGATGCTTTTAACTTCAGGGAATTTGTTGGGTGCAGAAGTACCTGTAGTCTGTTGGGAGGCCAGAACAAAAGAGATACAGACTTTGAAAGCATAGGTGAAAGACAGGACAGAAGGAACAGACAGAAAGTTGTTAGTTTGTGCATGCTACAAGCACTACATATGCATCACGTACTTTTGACATGCTGTATTTATTTCTTGTGGCAAATAAATGAAAAATGAAGTCATAGGGTAGATGCTATGATTAAACAGGATAATATGCATAAAACTACTTAATACAGTACATGGTACTGGTCAAGTGTTCAACAAAATCAGCTCCTATTGCCATGATTTAAATAGTATTAATTCCATATATTCTTGTTCCTTTTTTGAGAGTCCCTGTATCTGGGCTTCTGGCTAGTGGAAATCAGGATGCTGTGTCCTTTCAAGGTCACAGATAGGATAACAATAATTCCATATAAGATCCTTTCCTAACCCATCACTCAGGATCTTAACTGAGGGGCCCAATGAGGTCTCCAAGTTTTATCTGGTCTGTGTGCCCCCAACTTTCAGTTTCAAAGAGAATATGATGATTTATTCATTTCCTTAGGCATCCAAATGCTAGCTGAATGCTACCATTGAGAAATGAGACCATTCCCTCCTCTCAAAGTGGAGTTGTGAGAACGGGGAGGGCCAGAGTGGTTCTTCAAAGGCTACACAGTGGGGTAGAAGGGAGACATGGCCCTTCCACTCTTGTCACATGAAGTCTGTGTAGAGCAAGTTCTGCAGTCAAGAGTGAGAAGGCACAGGCTGGAGAGCTGATGCAAACTTTATATTTAGAAATGTGTTTTCCTGATTTTCTTCCTTAGCCAGAAGTGGACAGTATGCTAGTGAACTGGCTGACTGCAAAGGAGGGGGACCACCTGAACCCTACGCTTCTCTCTGCAATCTACAGCAGTCAAAGGGTGCCACTCTGGACAGAAAATGGAGTGTCTCTCTGCTGTTTATTATTATTTCTTGAAAGTTTTGAACAACATGGCAAAAGATCTGACAAGGTTTTGCTCCAGATGCACAGAATTTCCTAGAAGAAATAAGAGTGAAAACGCTTCCCGGCCATCTGTCCTGATCTCACACTGCACTTTCAGAATTTCTCTCTGGTTCTCATCCTGCAGAGGCACATCCTGACAGACTGCAGACAAGTCTCCCCGCTGATTAAATCAAAAGGCAACAAGAGAATCACTCAAAATAGGGCTGGGCAGGACCGAGGACTGAAGGAGCAAGAACGAGATGCTAATTCTACCCAACCAACAGCTCAGGAGGTACAGAGAGGAAAAAAAGAGGAAAAGTAAATGACCTACTAACAGTGTTTCATCTTGGTCTATTTTCAGAAGCTTGTAGAATTTAAAACAAGATGCTTTGAAAATATAGAATGTACTTTATTAAAAAAAATAGACTACTAGCTGGTTATCATGTACCCATTTAGCACAATCCCTATTTTTCAGAGGCAAAGGGTTAACAGCACAGATGAACTAAACCCTCACATACCCAAAACAAAGATTTCATTTGCTCTTTAGTCTTATTTTTCCCCCCAACCACGCTGTAAGGAAGAAAACCACGTCAATTTAAATTTTAGCATCTCTTCTTTCTGTATGTTTGAATTTAAGCATCTCTTCCTCCTGTATGTTTAATGAGTTTATGAATAACTATTAGCCAAAACAAGGAAAGGGAGGATCACAGAGGTCTGGTAAATAGTCTCCATTGGTGAAGTAAAACATGAGAGAGAGAGAGAGAGAGAGAGAGAGAGAGAGAGAGAGAGAGAGAGAGAGAGAGAGAGAGAGAGAGAGAGAGAGAGAGAGATAGAGATAGAGTGAGTTCTGAAAGGGTCTACGAAGTGATTCAGAATTGACTAGTACCTTATCAAACCCACCACAAACCCTTTAGTGTAATAGTGGGGAATTCAGGGAATCCACTTTTCAAGAATGGAGCATGCACAGAGACAGAAGCCACCAAGGGACAATTGCATTGATTCCTCATAGAAGACAATGAAAATCACCAGGAAGTATTATTTCTTCCCAGATGGTTTTCCTGTGCCGTCAGTGAGAGCCTGAGACACTTTGAGTTGATTTTGTTCCTTAAAATCTTACAGTAAATGACTCTGATCCTAACTCCCTTTGTTTTTTCTACTGCTGTTCGCTCTTTTCTAGGATAGAAAAACAGCAACCAATTCAGGAAAAGGTAACAAGGAGGAGAATGTGGTTAAGGAAGCTGGATGGCTTCTCCTCTCACACCCTTTTGCAGTTATTTTTATTTCACAATATCAGAGTTTGCAGAATGAATGTAGACTCTTCAGGATCTTTACAAAATAGACATTTTTTCCTACCAACCATTACAATTCAACTATGAACCATTTTTTTACCCCTGGAAATCAATACATGTGTATTTCAGGTCCTTGTCCAAGGATGATGTTTGTTAAATAATCATATCAAGTTCCTTGCTGTATAGGCAGGTTCTGTCTCCTGATTTCAATAAAAAGGGTGCATGCCTTTCTTATTCCAAAAGATAGTTATTCTGCAATAGACAGAAGAAAATGATTTGTAATAGGGAAACAGAAAATCATTGTTTCTTCTGGGCTGGCACTTTGTCTAGAGTTTATCTTTAAAGGGTGAATTGGTGGTTTATACCTTCCTGATTTTTTCCTTTGGCCTCACACATGTTGTTCCTCTTCTGTAAAAAAAGAATATGTTGTGACAAGCCACAAAAAGAATAGAATTGATCCATGGCAAGAGTATTTTAGAACACCTCCCCTTGCCTCATTAGTTGTAAAGGCAAAAAGGCCTGCTTTTAAAGATGAGAGTGAGGTCAAAGCTTAGAGAAGTTTGCTCTACCCATTTGGAATAAAGATAAGATAATTCATTAGTAGGAGAACTTGAAAATGTTCAATAAAGCATTGTTTTCAATTTTTGGTGTTTTGTTGTATACTTTATAAATATGCTAATGAAGGTCAATAGAATGTCATCTTATCAAAAATATCATCCACAGGTTGGAGACAGTTGCCCAGATTGACCTTGAGTTTTTGGTCCTCCTGCCCTATTCCAAGGCTGCAACACTAGGCTTCGCTCCAGGCTTCATTTTTAATGAAAATATTCAGTTGTGTTTTTTTTCCTTTTCAGAACCAACTATTTACAGCTGAGGTTTCCCACCCACTATTATTTGCAGCCTGATTCATAGATTTGAACTGGACTAGAGGACTTATTGTGTGCAAGACCCTTGACTCTCCTGTGTTTGCCCTCTAAATAGATCTGAGGTTCCTTCTCACTAGAGTATTGAATCAGGGTTCATGGTAAATAACAGCTTAGGTCATATTTTTGTCTTCTTAGTAGTACAAACAAAATAAATATGATTCCATAGATTTACCAGTTTGTATTAAATATTATAGAACATAAAATTACATTAGATAAGTCATTTGTATCATTTGCTGCCTAGGGTGATATAAATCTATTTTAAATGTTTCTGTGATTTAAATCAAAGGACTAGTGAAAAGCTAAACCAAAGAATATCTAGAGAATTCAGTTTGATAACTCTTAGGCTTCACAACTTACATTGAGATCAAGATACAAGTTGGTATGTCACCATGTTGTAAGATGATCACATTAACTTTTGAAAGGAAGGCATGCATGTGGGTGGGAGGGCAAGATGAATCAGGGACACCAGCATCTCTGGTCTGGAATCAAATCACACAGAACACAGATGTTTTTCTCTAGCTTCATCCTGTTAACTTAACTTGGGTTTATTGTGTTTTTTTTTCCCTTTCTCTAGAACATTGTCTGAAATGGTGATTTTTTATTAATGTCTTAGATTTATGGATCTACTATATTCCAGAAAGCCTATTTTCATGCTGAAACCAAACATTGTCTAGATCTCTTCTTCCTGTTGTTGTTAGAAGAAGAAAATATGAGAGATACTTGTGGTCTTCATATATAACAATATCCACCAAATAGTTGCATGAAAACTTATTTACCATGCATAGTGTTTTTCTCTAGTAAGCCATCTCTTTGGGAATGAAAAGGCTGAGAAGTTTTCACAAGGAACACATGCTCTTTCTTGTTCTGTGTTGTGTTTGTCTATTTGCTTCCTACTCAGCATCTGGGGGAATGATTATTACTTCCCTTTTGTGTTTCTTCCTCCCCCCCTTCGACATCTTATCTCAGCTGTTTTCTACTTTCTAAACCCATAAAGCTTACAAATTCAATCTTCTCTGGTACTATTTGAGGTCACAAATTAAATACTTTGTCAACAACTCTCTACACTTAAAAATAGTAAAAGAGAATTAACAGACATCTGGAAAAGAGTTCTATACCTTGCCAAAAAAAAAAAAAAAATCAGGCTTTTTTCAAAGTATCTCCAGATTCAGGGAGGAAATTTTAATATAGAACCAGCCAAATGTATTTCCTTTACATGTCTTCAATATTGATAAGAGGGCTAAAGTTTCCCCCATTGTTTATTTGCATCTATGCATGGTTATGGACTCAGAGCCAGCACAAGGAGCCGTCTGCTTGCATACATCCAGAAGGCAAGCCTACTGTGCAGACATTGCAGCTGCTAGGATTTTCCTTTTATGATGATTTCTCATTCTTCATTACAGAGTCAGGTTTTGAGACTTCTAGAAAGTTTTGTGATTGAATCACACAGCCCCAGATGGGACATGTGTGTTCCTGCTTGGGACTGAATTGACCGTCACACTGCCTACTGGTGACCTTACATGGTCATTAACTGCTTAGCATGAGGTACTAAGGATGATGGGAAACTACAGGGGAGAGCCACCTGCTTCTAGGTTAGAAGCTGGGCCATTAAGGCTTTTCAAGCCTTTTGGTCGAGAGCCTTTTATGGCTCTCAGGGTAGGAGATACATTCAGAATGACTCTGAAAGTGAAGCAATTGGTAGAAGACAAGACAGAATCAATGGAAGCTGAAACATCACTGAAAGGGTTATTGAGCATTGGGAATATGTATTTTTATCTTAGTGGTGTAGTAGCTGGCATGGAATAGATGCATAAACATTGCTGAGTGAATTACTGGATGAATTTAAATGAATAATATTTACCAGTCAACATAGGAACTTGCCTTCCTTATTGCACAGAGTTGATCTTTTGAGATAATCCATCCAGTTAACAAGCTCTACTGAGCACCCCTTTTGGCAGTTAGCACTTGATCTGTCATTACCCAGATCATTTATACTCATTACCCTGATATGATTGGGCATCGAATGTAAGCTCCATGGAAACAGCAAGCTTGCTAGCCTGTTGTTACCTCCCTTTCAGTACCTACAACACAGGAAGGGGCCTCAAAACACACGCCAGCTTGACTTTCCTGAAAGATATATTGTCTGACTTGGAAATACCTCCAAATGATTTCTTGAGTAAAACTCCATTGATGTGGGAAGATGTGGCTCTTTATTGGGGCTTGGGATCTCCTTCTGCCACCTGCCACTTATTCATGTGGCCAGACTTGGACTGACTCTATTCCAGGTCCCCTGCTGAGCCTACGTTCTTAAGCTCATTCAATAAAAGATCATATACAAATTCCAGAGGATTTTTGAAAGTCAAATTTTCACAATATAGAGCCTTCTATTTCTTTGTTTTAATCATTTCTGTTCTTATTGTATTTCATCAGCTTCATAAAATGCTGGAGGTTAAAGGCACACCTTTTCTCTAGTAGAAAAATCCTTGACAAATGCCTTTGGCAAAACCATTTTCTCTGTGCTGCTGGGATAGGATGGTCTCATAAGCCTCCCAGGCCTCAGGCCAGAGAAGAATAACTTCTAGACTGAAGGCTGCTGGCAAGAATCTCCCCAGGTCCCTGGAAATCCCTTTATTTACATCTGTTCCCTGAGTCTTTATTTGGAAACATACTGTCTGTTACAGGGGAGAAAAACAAAGGGAGAGAGAAATATATTTAAAGAAAACTCCTCTGTTTACACAGTGTTTTCATGATAATGTTTAAAAATCTTTGCCATTAAGGTGTGAAGTGTGTGTTATCTCAGCATGGAGACAAAGAAACTGAAATTTGAGTAAACAAGGGACTAACAAGGAATGAAACTGTTATTCCAAACAGCCTTCCAAATATGAACCCTGTGTGTCTTCAACTCCCAAACTGTCATGATCGAGCCTATTAAGTTTGATGGATTTTTATTTCTTAGTTACTTCCCTGTTAGTGTTGTGGATTCTCAGTTTTGCTCTCTCCTTTCTTTGTTTGTGTAGGTAAGTCAGTCATCCCCTAACTTTGAGCTCAGGGAGGTATGGAAAATGGAGATTAAGAGTGGAGCTTGGAGTTACTGGACTGGCCTCAAGTCTTGATGTCACCATTTAGCCTCTGTTAGAGACTGAACAATTTCTTACTCTGTTGTCTTTATTTACATATGATGGAGGTAGTTATTGTGAGCTTCTTCAAGGGCCAGCACATAAGCATGCTTAATGAGTATTCAGTTAGCTGCTGCTATTGACCCATTTAGGACATTCCCTCTCTCTCCTTATCCCATGCCCCCACGTTGCCTTTTGGTTATTCTAGACTTTTCAAGCAAGCACTCAGAGAAAGGGGGAAAATGGAGTAGGTGAAGGAGCATGGAATAAATGGAGAAAAGTATCGGATGTGAAGAAACCCAACCATCTGAAAGCAAAGAAGAGGAATATTAAAAGAAACGTATAAATGCTGTTCTGGCTAGACTTGAGAAGAGAAAAATAGCTAAAAATGGCACTGCCTGTCCCAGCAGACATGTTCTGGCTCACTAGGACTTGTTCTGAATCCAGAACCAGTACAGGAATGTGGGCCCCAACTCAACAACTCTGAGGGAGGGGAGAAGGGAAATATGAAACAAGCTGGCTTTAGAAGGGAGGAAATAGGATGGCAGGAAGTGTCTCTGTAGAGATCTAAGTACCAGTTGGGATGTATTTATGCTTTAAGAAATTACTTTTTAAAAAAGAGACAAGTTTTTTTTATATACATTCTTGCTAAGCAACAAGCCACCAAGGGCATGCTTTTAGTTAAGATGTCAGTTATTCAACTCATTAAAATACTAAGTCAAACACTGGTGACAGTTCCATGCACACATACTTTTGTCTGCCCAAGTGTGCCTTTCAGTGGACAACAAAGTTTGCAAAGCTTTTTCTGTTATTATTTATCATTTTTTTTCACATTAGACATATGGCATAGTGTCCTTTCAATAAATAAAGTGGTTGTTGCATTTGGGTAGAGCTGGAAGTGGTAATAATTTGGGACCAGGACACTTCAATAACTCAGATATCTACTTCTGATTGGTTAAGAAAAAGACTTCCTTGAATTTGTAAAGTAACGTCGGGTCACTCAAATAGTGTTTTTGTGCCTCTGTTACATTTTGGTCCCACTAGCTGTGGGAAGGTTACTGAGCGAAGTGAATACAGAACTTGACCCCTGGAAGAGACCCTTGGAGACTATGCAAGTCAGCTTACCTGTGCAAAATCTCATGCTAAATCTCTCTTCTAGTCACATGTGATGAACAATTTCTAGGACTTCCCTTCCCAGCCTCTGCAATGACAAAGGAATATTGATTAGCAATGAATGCTGATAGACAGACACAGAGGTGTTAATGGCAGAGAACAGTTATGTAAATTGCCTTCCTTTGGGTATTTTTACTCAGGAATATATCAAAGTATACACTGGAAATGTAAAGCTTTAACCCACACCATTGAGTATTTGCTCATGGGACTTTATATAGAACTCCCATGGGTAAATTCATATTTTGATTGTTAAATATGAGAGCAAGCATTTATCAAGTGTTTACAAGTATCAAGAATTGCACCCCCCCACTTTTTTTTTAAACAAGGTCTCATATAGCTCAGACAGATCTTGAATTCCCTGTAGTATGTGGTGATGTATTGTGTCCCCAATATATTATATGCCCTCATAAAGTTTATCTGAGGATCAGAGGAAAAAGCCAGCCACTATAGTAAACATAGAGGCCAGGCAATGGTAGCACACACCTTTAATCCTATCACTTGGGAGGCAGAGATCCATTTGGATCTCTGTGAGTTCAAGACCCCACTGGGAACAGAAACAGGCATGGTGGTATATACCTTTAATCCAAGCACTAACCATAAAGGTCTGGAGATCTGTACAGACAGATAGGAAGTGACAGAGCTGGGCGGGAAGAAGAAGTGATGTAGATGGACAGAGAGAGGAAATGAGATGGCAGAACAGAAAGGCATATAGGCATGGGTATACAGGAAGTGGGTCTCTTTGGAGACTGAGGTGTCGGTGAGGTGAGGTTGTCTGTGGCTTGTCCTGTTTCTCTGATCTCTCGGGTTTTCACCCCAATATCTGACTCTTGGGTTTTTATTAATAAGACCATTTAACATTTCGTCTTACAGTAGTGTATCTCAGGCTGGCTTGAATTCTGATCCTCTAGCCTCTGTCTCCTAAGTGTTAGGTTTATAGATGTGTGCCACCATGCCATACTGAACTGGACTGAGCATTGTAAATGAGCAAACTCACTTAATATTTAAACCCTATAGATGTTGGGAACTGTTACAGGCATCAGTGTTTGCTCTAAGTTCAAGCTTCTAGATGCTGGGAGAGCATAAGACGCCTCTGGGTTTGAGCATCAACACATTTCTGTTGTTTTTCTGGCCTGAAGTTCTGTGGGCCTGGGAAACATTCACAGTCAATTGTGTTAGAAGATAGGAAATTTGGAAACTTGGGTCTTGGGTAACAGGTAGGAGGGGATCTACTGAGTGGCCTTGTTTCTATATTCAGAAGTTATTCATTATAGAGAATGCTTTCGGAGGAAAGTTTGGAACAGAGAGAAATCAGCATCTTAAAGAATATGAGTCATATACAGAGAACTATCTTTCCCAAGAAGGACTGGAGACAACCTTTGCACATTAAGTGAACACACATCCTTCTCTCTCTCGGAGGGTCCCATTTCCTCTATTTGTCCCTCATATGTACTAAGCTTTATTCTGGATCCTTGCTTTCTCTTGAAAATCACCTGGAAACCTTATGTATTTTTTAACATTCAAGAGCCATCTGTAGCATTTGCTGGTGGTCTTTAATCTCTGAATCTTATCTCTATCCTGTAGATTTTTGAGCTTCATATCAAATTGTAATAAAAAAGCCTCTGTGTTGAGTATTATTTCCTCCTAATTGAAACATGTCCAAGAGGGAGGAGGGAAGCTCATGTAACTCCAGAAGCTAAGGAAACTTACAAGGTCCAGGATGCTCCCAATAATTACAAGACTCACAAGCCCCTTCCTCAAGATTATTTAAGCAGCAGTAACAATTGCTTTGGAGAGGTTACTCTCCCACTGACTCAACTGCCTCCAAGCTGTACAAGGAGGGGGCTCCACAGAGGCAGCTTTCATGAGTCATCACTCACTGGTGATGCAGCTGCCTTTGGGTCAGTTGTGTTTCCATAAGTAATCTCACTCAACTCACTGGTTCACTAAGGCTTGGGTGAATCATTCTTTGGTCTGTCCTAGGTGCCATTTCTTTGGTGAATAGATGTTTGTTCACAATTCCCCCAGGAAAGGCCTCACAACACTGATCATTTCACCCAGTTGTCCCACAGTTTGCCCTACAAGAAGTCCAAAATTAAACTCATTGCCATTCTGCCCATATTAATGCTCCTATATAGGTAGTGAGATACTGTCCACTTGGCAGCTCACACCAGGTACCATTCTTCAATATCTTTTGTTCCTTCCCCTCACCAGCTTCCCTTATGTTCAACGAAGCAAGGCTTTCTGATTCTACTCACTAAACATCTCTTGACATCATCCATTTTGTGTCCCCTACCCCCACTGCTGTTTTCTGAATCAGACCACCTTCACCTCTCATTCTGATGACATTCTCCCCATCGATCTCATTGATCAGTTTGCTTCCACTCTGCACACTGCCGCTGTGCAGATCACATCAGTTCTGATTACAGTCCTGCAACGGCTTTCCCTTGCCCTCTGGCTGGAGTTTAGCCTCTTTTCAATAACCTGTAAGACTCTGTGTGGGAAGCACTCTGCTCATCTTCTCGGCCTGCTCTTCCTTCCCTTCTCTCTTCTCTCTCCATAAACACTTGAACTTGCATTGATACAGCTTCTTCCACTTCCTCAGATAAGCCCTGCTCTCTCTGACCCAGGTCTGTGTGTATCCGCTGTCCTGTTAGGTGGAAAACTGCTCTCCAATCTGTTTCCCCATTTTTCCCTCTGTAAAAAACTTCCTTGACACACGAGGCTCTGACTAGGGGGCTCCCTCCCTTCATGTTTAGTAGATTGTTCTACAATCCTCTGTTTATTTATCTGTATATATCACATGAATTTCTGTGGAAGGAGAGGCCCTTTCTCTTCGCAGGTTGGCCCTGTGTTGAGTTGAGTCTGACTTACACATGATAAGAACAAACACAGCCCACAGATGTGTACTGATGGAGCACATGTGTGTATGGATGGAGTACATTTGTAGAACTTACGCATTAGCTTGCTTGACAGGCTAATTTCTGCTTTTCAGCCAGCACTGACACGAGGATAAAATAATTTTTAGCATACAGATTTGCTAAGGGCATGGTTTAAGTCAGTTGGTTTCTTTCTATATTCAGGAGCTCTTTAGTCCCATGCATGGCATCTCTGAGAGGAGAGAAGGAGGTTGCAGAATGGTGGAGGGTACAGAATGGGCACTCTGGATACTTGCAGGATAGAATGATTTAATTTTTCTAAAAAACTATAGTTAGGTTTGTCCTATTATGTATTTTGTATGAGAACAAAGAAAAAGAAAGCAAAAAGGGAAACTGTCTATTAAAGCAGCTCTTCTAAAATGGTTCCATCATGAAACCAAGGACATTAAGACCGAGGCAAATGCTGTGGTTGCCTCAACATCCTGGGGTTCCTAGAAAGGGGTCCAGCATTCTTAAATATTCCCCCAATATGGTGGAATGTGCACGTTAAGCTTATGTCTCTTATTAAATTAATTTGGTTAAATAAACAACCAATTGAGATTTGTCTACTGAAAAATCTTTAAGGATTTGAAAAAGCCCATTTGATCTTCTCTGTGCTTGTCTTTATTTTTAGAAAAATGCACCTGTGTTCTATAGTAGTTTTTGCTAAGTAGAAGGAGAAACATGTATAATCAGACTTAGAAAATTAAATTAAGCCTCGTCCTAAGAATCTCCAGGCCTAGTCTGCCACCTCCACAAAAGTGTGGGTGGAACTTTTGCTTTTTACAGTTTTTAGTGAAATCCTGGCCTCATCTCCAAGACTGCTTTCTAACATTGGAAATGATGTTCGAAAGAAAGAAGTCTACCGGAAGGAAAAGCTTCAGTCTTATGTAGCCTCGCTATTTATTCATTTATTCACAAATACTTATTTAGAGTCTGCCTGGTACCGAGCATATATAACATTTCTCATGTCTGGAGATAGAGCAGTGGAAAGGATAGATGGGGCCTCTGCTTCCGTGAAGGACACATTGTGAGTGGGAGAAACAGCGACTATGGAAATGAGAGCATCTTGAAGGGCGATGAGCTGGAGGAAGCCAGTAGGATGATAGTGTGCTGGAGACAGGTACAGCGGGAGGGTTGAAGTGGAGGAGGACATCTCTATGAGGGAACATTGAGAAGATAGGGAAGAAGCAGACACGTGAGGAAGTTTAGGAAAAAGCCGTCCCGCGGAGGGAGCAGTGAGAGCATTCATTTCCCATTGGCTTCCCAGGTAGCTTGCTTTCCGGTGTGTGGGAGAAGCGTCAGCCTTCCCTAGTTACTTCTCCCAGTGCCTGGACCACACAGGGATCCGTAGAAAGGCCCCAAAGATTGCAGTCCCCTAAGAGCACAAGTCACTTGAAGAAGTAAGAGAGGCAGGGAAAGGTAAGGGGGTGTCCTGCCATCCTGCATAAGAAGTTATACTTGCTCGCCGAATGTTTGTCTTTTTCTACTCTCACATTTAAAGGAAATTCATCTTGAGATTGAATGTAAGATCCACAGTAACAGAAAGTGGCCTTAAATTTTAGGGAGGTTTAATAGCGTGTGTTCTTCCTCTCGGCCACTAGAGAGCAGTGCTGCCCATCAAATGTACAAAGAGGCCCAGGATCAGGGCCGAGGTTTAAAAGGAAAGTCCATCCCACAGACAAATTTCTGCCTTTCCCTTTCCTCTCCGGTCTCCCTCAAGTCCCACGGTCTGATTCCCTGGTGTCTAACGTCCACAAGCATAACCTCCAAGCAAATTTCATGATTAGAATAAAGCTCGGATTCTTTAGGGGGAAAAACATCAGGGCGTTTAACCTCGTTGAAGGCTATTGTGAGCCTTCCCAGCTAAGGAAGCTCAATGGTAGCAACCCAGATCCACATGGGACAGGGGCAGGGCTTCCTGGGAGTCTTCAAGAACATTAACATGCATAGCCAAGAGGGCAAGGGCCGTTGTTTCACCAGTGTACTGAGACAGGGAAGGTCAAGCCAGGTTTGGGTGGCAGCAGAGGTCTTGTCGCCACAGTGACCTCAGTGGGCACTGGAATCTTGTAACCTCTATTTGAGCTGCTCAAGTTTCAGCCACATAAAGTGC